CTTAAGCATTATCGTTTGTGAATACGGGCGTTAGTCACTATAAGCCCCAAGTGTACTAATTTTACAGCATCCATCTCCTGCCGTGATATTTTAAGAGAGCTCTCGTTATGAATCATCTGCCGCTAAAACTGTAACGGCAATAAAATGAAATGTCAAAGTTGATATGCTCCTTCAGTATGTCAGTCACGATTCGACGCGCGGCAGACCGACAGTCGCCCGGGGCACAGCTCAAATATAACAGTCTAATCATAACCACAATCATAACTATAATACTTACTGGAATTAATTAATTAGAGATTATTAAAAATAATTTTAGAACAAGTCCTTTTATCTTTGTTAAAATAAAAAAAATCGATAAATAAGGGCTGATATTTCAATAACTTTTAACTGTAGAATAAGTTTGGCATATTGACAGTTTCAGTATGGGAAATATTTGAAAAAGGACAAGTTTATTCTTCAGTTAAAAGTTAACTGATGATTGAAAAATCAGCCCTAAGTCTAATTATGTATTTATTTTCCATACAAAGATACTTAAACGCTTGTATCTTTTTTGTTTCCAGTCCGATTTCAATACCTATTTTACAGAAATTATAATGTCTAGCTTATTAATTTTATTTAGTTTTCATCCTCTTATGTACTAGCTGATCTCTACCAACTACCGTCGCTTGTGTATTTATGGCGTACGTTGCTAATCCCTGCGCGTACGCAGAGCATCCGCGTTTATTTATTCGTTAAAGGTAATTAAGTACAACAGGATGACGCTCATTGTCGTTTGCAGACGTTCCTTCTTGGAACATGTTCTAAACGGATTAGTTTTATTTGTGCATACTTATTTCATTACGCTATGGATATTGAAGGCAAAATGTAAAGTTAATATTACAGTATGTAAAAACTAGAAATATAATAAATAATCATCGGTACCTACGCTATGAACCCGGAAAAATAGATATTGTTACTAAAAGCAATAAAGTAGGAAATTATATAACTTTATTCATCGTAAAATTATGTAAAGCGTGAAAACAAGTTATTACTTCAAGTACCTACTAAGATTACTTGTAGTTCTTAAGAAAACTCCAGACTCGGAATGATGAATAAATAAATTGTGAATGTTTTCATCGAGTTCGTCTTGGAATTACTTATTATAAGGTAGGTACATTACACTGCAAGTTAATTTTTTTATTAAAAGTGACTCATCAAAAATTCAAAATCGCTAAAAAATGTAGATGAGCATCATAATCGCGGAGAAAAAGTGCGCTTTCTAAGCACGTGAAGTATTAATTTGTAAACATGCAAGACGCGCACTTTCGGTTTTCTAATTATACGTAGTTGGGTTAGAATCACTCGATAATCACGAGTGACGTGGAAAATCTCGAGTGCCCACGTTAGTGATTTTATCGAACGATAAAACTTCAGTTTTGATGCAGATAGTAGATAATTAAGGAATAAAATTGTATTCAAACTTACTTATGCCAAAATGACCATTATGATTTATTGGTTTTGTTTATTTCCTTGCTGATTTGTGAAACATCCAGGCTTACAGTAAATAATTAACCTCCAAGTTTTTCAGTACTAAATTACCTAATATGTATAACTACTCAGGTTATTTAGTATTTACTGGATATCAAATACAACAGTTTTAAAGGACAATGACCAAAAGTGGTCCAAATGTCCACCACTAATGAGACCTATATTGGCTTATAGTCCATTAAATAGAGATTAACTTTCAGTATGGGACGAAAAAAAAATAAGCTGTCAGCAAAAAGTTATGACTGTATGAAAAATTGTAGTAGTTTACGCGCTAATCTCGGGAACTACTGGTTTTGTAATGGATAGCCCATTTATCAAGGATGGTTTTAGGTTACATAACTTCACCCTACAACCAAGGGATGGAGCAGCGACCACCCGACCATAATTCCAATATTGTCGTCTTTCTTCTGAGTTCATTTTTTTTTCTTTTAGCTAGAATGTAACACGGCACACTAAGCGACATGACATAACATGCATAGATTAGTCCAAAATGTGCGATAGATAGAATGATATCAAGAACATTTTTCGGATGAAAAGGTTAAAAACATGGCTTTTCCTTCAGTCAAAACTTTTTACTGACAGCATATTTTTGATTGCGGTTCGGTTATACTGAATCAGTATTTAGTAGACTATTTTACTACATAGGTCTCGTTAGTGGTGGACATTTGGACCACACTCCATACATTTTTGGTCATTGTCCTTTAATTGGTTTTTACTTTAATAATTACACTAGAAGAAACAGAAGATAATTATCTAAAATAACCGTAATATTAAATCTCATTGCTCACATCTGCCCCTTATCTGTGTAATTATAATCCTAACTAAACTATCGCTCCATTAAAAAATGCCGTGCCACTTACCTCGTTCAGTTACTAAACGTTGCACGTAATTGGCGACTCACTCAGACAATTGGATTATTGTACACCAGTAATGTCGGCAAAATAGTTGCGTCACACCGTGACACCCTTTGTGTACTTTTAAACGGGAAAGCTCTTGGTGTACGCTGACCTTTAGAGCCGTGCATGATGGAGTGAGCTTGCATAATACCTCCTTGGCTTGGATTAAAATAGGCACTTACTGATTAAAACGCTTCAGGTTTATTTGTATCTTTGTTACAGTTTTGTCTTGAGGCAAAATTATTATTTTTGACTGTCTACCGGAACGTAACAGTAGGTTAGTACCTACCTAATCATTTTGTTCTAATTCCGCATAGTACTGTCCATATGTACAGTTAGGCTGAGTTGCACCACCTAACTTTGACCGTAACTTTGACGATAACCGGTGTTTTTTGTATGGAGTTTGAGAGATTTTTGACGTTTGTCAAAGTTAAAGTAAGATGGTGCAACCCAGCCTTAGACAACTGACAAACAAACGATTACTTTCTCTCTCATNAAATTATTAATATAGATTACGCTATGCTGTTCTGCTTTAGAGAAACGGTCACGAGTTAGAAAGTGAATTCGGCAGTCCGGCGGGCGTGACCGTGGGAACTGGTGACGTCACTCTACCTAAACTGAAGCAGACGTTCTTATATTTTTTGGAGCAAGACACCTTTTTGCCGATGGAGCTTTGTAGAAGGCATTGCATTGTAACAAAGGTTAAATAAACCTGCCGAAAAGGTTAAAAAGGCTTTTGGATAAAAATCATAAAGATATTGACTTAACCATTTATTTGTTACATCAACAAGAGTTTATTTATACTCACGTTTAAAACGTAATCAAAAGTCCATTGTGAAGTAACCAAAAATTGGTATCATCATCGTAACTGTAAATTATTCTTCCAATATATGTATTTTCGATCTGTAGATTCACTTTATTTTCAGCAATTAAACACAACTCAAGTCTCTTGAATAAATTATTTTTTTAAGATTATACCGGATAAATAAATTATAATTACATTAATTTCCTATTACCTGACATTTAAAACTATGAAGGAAATAATCGCGTGGGCGAATTTAGTAAGGATATCAGGTTTTTAACTTCCAGTGACATTTCGATTTAATCGCATTACACACATTTATGATAGTATTCATATTTGCGCAATCAAAATCAAATCGAAACCAACCATTAAATTAACTGTTTAGTACGAAATTTGGAGTTTAGTTTTTATCCAATTTTCGAAAACGGAAGTCTAAAATGGGGGCACGCTAGCGCCACCTGTAGGCCTAAGATGCGCGCCGTGATAACTTTTATCGATGTCAAAATGTATGGGCAAAATCGATAAAATGGCGTGATAACCGCTTATCGCAGCGCGCATCTTAGGCCTACTGGGGGCGTTAACGAGGTAGCGACTACTTGATGTCGATCCGCCGAGATGAGAAGACGCTTCAAACTGCCATGCAGCTTCTGTTTATGATAAGCGTGGTAATGAAAGGTGCTTTTGAGATTGAACTTGATACCTTTCAAATTGAACAAGGTACTATTTGAAGCCCCCTCACGCACTGCTAAAATAGCACTCCGTGCTCAACATTTTGTAATAAGTCGCTATTTAGTGTTTAACAATAGCATAATTATTAATAGTGTCTACAACATAAAATAGCAGAGTATGCGCTTTAAAAGCATAGTAAGGCAGATTTCGTAAGAATAATTGAACTAATTTATGTAACTAGATTTTATATCATTACAAGTGTAAGACTGGTTGAGAGAAGATGGTTTAATAAACACCTCAGAAGAAGATCATCATTTGTATTGATTCATCCTCAAGACTCAACTTACTTCATGGCGACCCTTCCAGGATTAGATGACAAAAAATTCAAATTACTAGAGTCATAACGATTGGGTAACACCACTATTCATCACACTGGCAACCATGACAACACTCATCAACCAGGTGCCACTAAGTAGGTTACGCCTACGCCCAGGGCGCGAGACGGTGTGAATATGCACCGCCATAACGACAATCGGCCGACTTTTATAGACCAATAACACACCTGGCCTCAGGATTTTTAGGTCAAAGTAATAAAAGGATAAATTGGTAACAGCCTCTTGGGTATTACTGGAATGGTAACAGCCTCTTGGGTATTACTGGAATTTTAGCGTGGTAGAACTAAGTAACCAAGGAGCAAAGTAGTGAAATAAATAGGTTCTTTTTTAAACAAACTTAATAGAATTTCTATGATCGTTCTAAATAACATATTTTATTTTTAACTAGCTTCAGCTAGCTGCTATTTCTTCGTTAATCATTTACGTAAAGAAATACATCCCATCCCAGCCCATCTGGATTTCTGGAACCTTTCAAACAGTGAAATATTTTTTTAAATAGGTGCAATACTCTTAGTCCCGAAGATTACCATCACCACACTTTGCACCAGTAATTCGATATAGATTAATGCTCTCAGATGATCATTGAGGGAAACGTCCACTGTCTTTGAAAATTCGATGCAGATTAAATGCTTTCAAATGATCGATAAAATGCCGCTCATATTGTTTTTAATTCTGTTGCTCCAACGACTCTAACCGAATCCTTCTTTCCAGACGGGGTCAGGCAAGACATACACCATGGGCAGCGGCTGGGAGGGCGAAGGTGACGGCGACGAAGACCGGCGCGGGATCATCCCGCGGGCGATACGCGACCTCTTCGCCGGCGCCGACCAGAGAGCTGAAGAGGCGCGCGCGCAGGGTCACCTCCCGCCCGAATTCTCCGTGCAGGCGCAGTTCATTGAGCTCTACAACGAAGACATTGTGGACCTGCTTGACCCGGCTAAGGATCCGTTCGCCAAGGTAATTTTCTTTTTTAAAGAATATTAGCAATAGAGCGAGGGCGATGAGGACTCTGCGGGATCATCCCGCGTGCGATACACGACCTCTTCGCCGGCGCCGACCAGCGGGCCGAAGAGGCGCGCGCGCAAGGTCACCTCCCGCCGGAGTTCTCCGTGCAGGCGCAGTTCATTGAGCTCTACAACTAAGACATTGTGGACCTACTCGACCCGGCTAAGGATCCGTTCGCCAAGGTAATTTTCTTTTAAACAATATTAGCGATATAGTGAGGGTGACGAAGACCGGTGCGGGATCATCCCACGGGCGATACGCGACCTCTTCGCCGGCGCCGACCAGCGGGCCGAGGAGGCGCGTGCGTAGGGACACCACCCGCCGAAGTTTTTGGTGCAGACGCAGTTCATTGAACTTAATAAATAATAAAGTATTCTGTTATTCTATCATTTTATTAGTAAACAATAATACTTTTTCATTGAAATCTACAACAAAGACATTGTGGCGGACCTCCTCGACCCGGCTAAAGACCCGTTCGCTAAGGTAAATGTTGTTTTAAAGAACATTAGCAATTAGTTAATACACTCTACTTACTGATAACCCTTCGTAGTAAGCTTAGGGTTCACCACAATAGTGCAGCGGCGGAGTTTGAACCCGTGTTCCTCTACCTCCTTCGCTTTTGCTATTGTGCGTGACGTGCTTCGATACTTATCACGTCATAATAGCCGAGATTAAAATAATGTTTCCGCGATATCTTTCCCGATGAAAACTACCTACAGCCACTAATTAGAGCCGTCGTCCAACCGTGCAAGAAAACAAACATCGTTGCCTAATTACAAGCACAATGTAAATGAATGCAGATGAATTAAAAAAGTACATTACCTACCTACCTCTCTGCGTGGAAAAATTCCAGAGCACATACTACACTCGGCGTCAAAAAATCGCACCACCCGCGACTAAAATCGTCGCAGAGTGTAATATGAATATGAGTACGGAGTATACGTCGCATCGCCTAGTAGAAGAATGCTGCTGACTCTTAAATATTCCTGTAAAATCAATCCTATTGCACCTATTTACATTGTGGCTCAAGGCTGTAGAAAATTAAGCCGTCACTGTGGGCGGGCAGTTTTAATTAACCCTAGAGTAGTCGCGCCTTTCCGTGAAACGTGAGTGCTCGCGTATGAGCATTTTGCCGCCCAAACTTAAAGTCCGGTTGTGTGTCAATTAACAGTTTAAAAATATGAAAATCAGTTAAAAATGATAGAATAAAGCATACACTATTAGAAATTAACGTTTATTAAAGATTTGTGGTTAAAATTTAAAGAAAAAAAATATTTTGGAAATATTAGGAAATATTTATAGAAATCTTAGAAACACTATTGTTTTTATCTACATACATCATCAAATATTAAACTTATTAGCACAATTAAAGGTTTTCCTTACATCTGACATGTGCTTCAACAAAACAGGCCTTAGGCCAGTAGAATTAAACACAAAAATTGATTAAATCGGAAATAATTCCTACAAAAGATTTTTTTGCTTTAATGGCTTCATTGGTTGCCCATTAAGACTCTCCTAAGTTTTCGACTTCGACGGAGTTGTGCTTAAGTGGTAGGGGCCCCCAAAAGGGGCGTTTTTTCGGTTTTCCGGTTAGACCGCGTAAAGGACTTACCCTATCGAAAAGTGGTCTTCATGACGGTTAAAGGGCACTTAATCCTGCATTGAATAAGACCAAATTCATATGTTTTGGACAATCCGTTCTCNATAGCACGAGCACTCTAGGGTTAACAGTAGTACGGCGGCCACTCGACCGTGGTATCGATGTACCGACTGTCATTATGTCCTTTTACATTTTTGACTTGGGGAAGTAATCCATTGAGTTTTAATGCATTTTAAACTCAGGATTATCGTGTGTTGTTTAAATAAAAGGCCAAGTTTAATAAAAAGCTTAAGATCTGCGTTTATGTAATGTAAATTAAAACTTGGCATTTTGTCGAAGATGTACTATGTCATGTTGTCCAACAAAATAAACAATACTTAATAAGAGTTATCATAATTCCGTTGAATATGTCGGTAGCACATTTCCACGACGAAACTATAACGAAACATAATATACATATCTGCGTTTACATTCCCTTAAAGCAACGTTTTGTGGTGAGTGTGCTATCGGCGTAAGTCCACATATCTCAAGTTTCAAATCCAACAGAGTCCACATATCTTAAATGTCATATTATTATCGAACAGGGCGCGCTAAGGATAACAGAAGACGGTTGCGGCGGCGTCCGCGTAGTAGGTGCTTCCATGCGGGCAGTCCGCAGCATCAAGGAAGCACTCGGCGCCCTTCGCGCTGGAGCCCTAGCCCGGACCACGGCTGCCACCAACATGAACTCATCCTCCTCGCGATCCCACGCAGTCTTCACCCTGCTAATGAGGCAGAGGAGACTCGCTGCCGATCTGGAAGTCACCGAAAAGGAGGTCGACGCGGAAGCGCCGGAACAGTTTGAAACGCTGACGGCCAAGTTCCACTTTGTTGATCTGGCCGGCTCTGAGAGACTTAAACGGACAGGTGATTTGACTGTTTATTTTGTACTAGCTAGAAATTTTGTGCGTGCATAAATTATTCTCCAGTCCATTGTCATGTAGAGCTTACACTTCAATCTATCTATCCGAAATAAAATGGACAGATTTTAATTTAGGTATTATCCTATCAAACAAAGACGCTACAGAAAGACTAACTTAATACAAAGAAAGAATCTGCACTATTCATGTTTTAAATCTATCAATGAACATTTCAGTTAAACAAAGCGAGAAATCCTTCAATTTCATTAAATTACTCTGCAATAAATTATTCTGCAAGTGCAAACCGTATGCAAATCGCGTTACATTCGTTAGGAAATAAGATCTATTGCAGACTTTAAAGAACCTCTCACGATAAATAAATACTTTGAATGAGATGGCACTTCAGATGCAAACTGATTTACAACAACAAGAGAATACTAACGTTCATACATTTGCATAATATTATGTCTATTGTAAACTTGGCCCACATAACTGCGTGCCTCATTTGCATAGCGCGCGCTACGCAAATGCCAAACAGCCATGGCAATCAAAATAACAACAAACTTATGTTTGCATCAAGAAAGTTGTATGGAGTAATGATTGGGATAATGGTTCCTTTTTGTCCATACTTATTTTACGTAATACTATCTTGATACTCGTATTACATATTTCGCTTTTAAGATTTCTGTTCTGGTATTTAAAAGTTTATACTGGTGTTGGAATTTTGTTCTGCATAAAATACCAGCACCGATAATTTTTGTGCAATCGAACGCTGATGTGATCTATCACAAAATTCCTTTAGGCCGGGTTCCCACTAAAAAAATAAAATCTTCCGGGTAAAATCGCCGGAAGGCCTAGCGGCGGTACAAATTGTATGAAGCTGTTCACATTATCCCGGATCCGGCTTTTTCGCCGAGCCCGGCATTTTTACCGAGCGTTTTGTCGCTACAAAATGCCGGCAAAATCACAGGACCGGAGTAATGTGAACGAGTTGCGGCCCACCCCGCCGCGCCCGTGCTTCCCGCCCCGCCCCGCCCGTGCTCCCCGCACTTCATTCGGCTCGGATTTCGGATCCGGTGATCCGGTGTAATGTGAACACCCTTGTCCGGTGTCCGGTTTCCGGCAGAAATGCCGGTCCGGCATAGTGGGAACACGGCCTTATAGATTTTGAATCTTCAAGAGTTTTGTCGAAACATGATGCTTAATGATGTTCCAATGAGGGCAATCTCACCAGTTTGCGCCACTGCCTTAGCCACAGCTAGCGAGTGACAGGACCTTACTCTACTACCGCCAACTGGTGAAGGCAAACACGCATTTATTGCATGGCTTTTATTTATTTTGTTTCAGGGGCCACCGGTGAGCGAGCCAAAGAGGGGATATCCATAAACTGCGGGCTCCTGGCGCTCGGGAACGTCATATCGGCCCTCGGAGACAAGTCGCGGAAAGTCCTGCACGTGCCCTACCGAGATTCCAAGCTGACGAGGCTGCTTCAAGACTCGCTCGGAGGTAATAACAAGAACTGATCTAGAATTTTAGAAGTGATTTTGAAATTGATTTTAAGATAGAAACTTTTAGATGAAATTGATGTAGATCCTCCATAATTATGGATAATAATAATAAGAAATGATGACGCTGCAATTTATTTAAATATATTTTACTAAGCTTACTAATGTAGTAAGCTTTTAGGACCCATGATAAAAACTACCAAAAATAAAATCAGCAAAACAGATTTTTGGATGATTAAGGTTCACAAAGATATTTTTTTATTGTGAGTCCTAGAAAGTAGACAGAAGTCTTAATTCGTACTCGTTTTAATAGAAATTAATTATTATCGTTACTAAGCTTGGATTTCCACAAAGACCGGTCCTGCGCCGCTCGCATCCAGGCACCTCCCCCGACCTTCACCAGATCGTCCTTTGTCCAGCAGTGGACGTCTTTCGGCTGAAACGAACGAACGAACGAACTAAGCTTGATAAAACTCGTATTTTCCTCAGGCAACAGCAACACAGTGATGATAGCGTGCGTGTCGCCTAGCGACCGGGACTTCATGGAGACGCTCAACACATTAAAATACGCGAACAGAGCTCGGAACATCAAGAACAGATGCGTCGTCAACCAGGACCTCACGTCGCGCACCATCAACCAGCTGCGGCAAGAAGTGGCGCGGCTGCAACTGGAGTTGGCAGAGTATAAACAGGTACGGGGAAACATCGTCATCATCAGGTCATTTAGTCATGGAGACGCTCAACACATTAAAATACGCGAACAGAGCTCGGAACATCAAGAACAGATGCGTCGTCAATAGTGTTGNCTCTACAACGAAGACATTGTGGACCTGCTCGACCCGGCCAAAGATCCGTTCGCTAAGGTAAATGTTGTTTTAAAGAATGTTAGCAATAGAGCGAGGGTGACGTAGACCGGCGCGGGATCATCCCGCGGGCGATCCGCGACCTCTTCGCCGGCGCCGACCAGCGGGCCGAAGAGGCGCGCGCGCAGGGTCACCTCCCGCCGGAGTTCTCCGTGCAGGCGCAGTTCATTGAGCTCTACAACGAAGACATTGTGGACCTGCTCGACCCGGCTAAGGACCCGTTCGCTAAGGTAAATGTTATTTTAAAGAATGTTAGCAATAGGGCGAGGGCGACAAGAACCCGCGTGCGATCCGCGACCTCTTCGCCGGCGCCGACCAGCGGGCCAAGGAGGCGCGCGCGCAGGGTCACCTCCCGCCAGAAATTTCCGTGCAGGTGCAGTTCATTGAACTATACAACGAAGACATTGTGGACCTGCTCGACCCTGCTAAAGACCCGCTCGCTAAGGTAAATGTTGTTTTAAAGAATATTAGCAATAGAGCGAGGGCGATGAGAACAGGCGCGGGACCATCCCGCGGGCGATACGCGACCTCTTCGCCGGCGCCGACCAGCGGGCCGAAGAGGCGCGTGCGTAGAGACACCACCCGCCGAAGTTTTCGGTGCAGGCGCAGTTCATTGAACTTAATAAATAATAAAGTGTTCTGTTATTCTATCATTTTATTAGTAAACAATAATACTTTTTCATTGAACTCTACAACAAAGACATTGTGGCGGACCTCCTCGACCCGGCTAAAGACCCGTTCGCTAAGGTAAATGATGTTTTTAGTTAGAAAATTAGCAATTTGTTAATACACTCTACTTACTGATAACCCCTCGTGGTAAGCTTAGGATTCACCACAATAGTCCAGCGGCGGAGTTCGAACCCGCGTTCCTCTACCTCCTTCGCTTTTGCTATTATGCGTGACGTGCTTAGATCCTTATCACGTCATAATAGCCGAGATTAACATAATGTTTCCGCGATATCTCTCCCGATGAACACTACCTACAGCCACTAATTAGAGCCGCCGACCAACCGTGCAAGAAAACAAACATCGTTGCCTAATTACAAGCACAATGTAAATGAATGCAGATGAATTAAAAAAGTTCATTACTGATGCCCTCTACGCGCAAAAATTCCAAAATCGCACCACCCGCGCCTAAAACTTTCAGGCGTATGCATCCCCACCCCACTTCCCACCAATATTGAAATCATTTGAAAGCCCAGTTCTAAACCTCATTTCATTAAAGGAAAGGTTAGTACCCTAAAAATGGGTCTTTACAAGGATCCAGTATTGCTGTTTAAAGCGTCAGGTAGTTCCAATATTAGTAGAGCACCATGTTTGTGTTAGAGAACAATCTGTAAAGTTGTTGTCGCGGGAGGTGCGATTTTTTGAAGCCGAGTGGTATATTCACGCGTATGATTTCGCTGGCACAGCTAATATAAGAAATATTAGACGTTTATTGATCGTCTGAACTTTAGTCGCGTTTTACGTACATTATCTGGTCCTCACGTCACCAAGAAGAATGTTGCTGGCTCTTAAGAGTACATCTTCATCAGTCCTATTGCATCTAGTTCCATTGTGGCTCAAGGCTGTAGAAAATTGAGCCGTCACCGTAGGCGGGCAGTTTTAATTAACAGTAGTACGGCGGCCACTCGACCGTGGTATCGATGTACCGACTGTCATTATGTCCTTTTACATTTTTGACTTGGGGAAGTAGTAATATGTGTTATCATAATTCCGTTGAATATGCCGGTAGCACACCTCCGCCACGCCACTTTACTTTCCCATATTTGAAGCAAGTCTCTCGGTGGGACATAATTATGCTACCGGCGTAAGTCCACTCAATTTTAAGCTGCGTGTATCAAACAAGGCTGTATGTTTCTTTAATAAGATAAAAAAAATCTAAGTGTCATATTATCCAACAGGGCGCGTTAAGGATAACAGAAGACGGCTGCGGCGGCGTCCGCGTAGTAGGTGCTTCCATGCGGGCAGTCCGCAGCATCAAGGAAGCCCTCGGCGCCCTTCGCGCTGGAGCCCTAGCCCGGACCACGGCTGCCACCAACATGAACTCATCATCCTCACGATCCCACGCCGTCTTCACCCTACTAATGAGGCAGAGGAGACTCGCTGCCGATCTGGAAGTCACCGAAAAGGAGGTCGACGCGGAAGCGCCGGAGCAGTTTGAAACGCTGACGGCCAAGTTCCACTTTGTTGATCTGGCCGGCTCTGAGAGACTTAAACGGACAGGTGATTTGACTGTTTATTTTGTACTAGCTAGAAATTTTGTGCGTGCGGAAATTATTCTCCAGTCCATTGTCATGTAGAGCTTGCACTTCAGTCTATCTATCTATCCGAAATAAAGTGGACAGATTTTAATTAAGCTATTATCCTATCTAACAAAGACAATCGTAATACAAAGAATCTACACTATTCATGTTTTAAATCTATCAATGAACATTTCAGTTAAACAAAGCGAGAAATCCTTCAATTTCATTTAATTACTCTGCAATAAATTATTCTGCAAGTGCAAACCGTATGCAAATCGCGTTACATTCGTTAGGAAATAAGATCTATTGCAGACTTTAAAGAACCTCTCACGATAAATAAATACTTTGAATGAGATGGCACTTCAGATGCAAACTGATTTGCAACAACAAGAGAATACTAACGTTCATACATTTGCATAATATTATGTCTATTGTAAACTTGGCCCACATAACTGCGTGCCTCATTTGCATAGCGCGCGCTACGCAAATGCCATGGCAATCAAAATAACAACAAACTTATGTTTGCATCAAGAATGTTCATGGAGTAGTGATTGGGATAATGGTTCCTTTTTTCCATATTTATTTTACGTAATACTATAATAGATTCCAACACCAGTATATGTAGTAATACTGGTGTTGGAATCTTGGAATTTTGTTCTGCATAAAATATCAGCATCGATACTTTTTGTGCAATCGGACGCTGATGTGATCTATCACAAAATTCCTTTATAGATTTTGAATCTTCAAGTTTTGTCGAAAGCAAGTTGTTAGGTTAACTTTGAAAAGAAAAATGCTGTCAAGAAGGGTATCGCTCACAAGTTGTCGCCACTGCCTTAGCCACTAGCGAGTGACAGGACCTTACTCTACTACCGCCAACTGGTGAAGGCAAACACGCCTTTATTGCATGACTTTTATTTATTTTATTTCAGGGGCCACCGGTGAGCGAGCTAAAGAGGGGATATCCATAAACTGCGGGCTCCTGGCGCTCGGGAACGTCATATCGGCCCTCGGAGACAAGTCGCGGAAAGTCCTGCACGTGCCCTACCGAGATTCCAAGCTGACGAGGCTGCTTCAAGACTCCCTCGGAGGTAAAAACTACAGAAACCCAACATTGATTAAATAAAACGCGGGCATAACAGCGTATTACACTTGAAAATTTCAACGGTTTCATCCAGTATCTAAGTAGCTCAGTTGGAAGAGTAGTCGCCCAGCAAGCAAAAGGTCGTGGGTTCGATTCCCACCTTAGGCAGTTCGATTTTTTCAAGTTGTTTATTTAAAATACAGAAACTGATCTAGAATTTTAGACATGATTTTGAAATTGATTTTAATATAGGAACAGAAATAAATGGTCAGATTATCCATAATAATGAATGAGAATGGCGATTACGAGCTTACTCAATGTAGTAAGCTTTAGGTACTGTCAGATTCGTGTACATAAGTTCTAGAGTCTAGGCAGGAGACTTAATTCGTACTCATTTTAATAGAGTTCAATCTATTATTATCGTTACTAAGCTTGATAAAACTCGTATTTTCCTCAGGCAACAGCAACACAGTAATGATAGCTTGCGTGTCGCCAAGCGACCGGGACTTCATGGAGACACTCAACACATTAAAGTACGCGAACCGAGCTCGGAACATCAAGAACAGATGCGTCGTCAACCAGGACCTCACGTCGCGCACCATCAACCAGCTGAGACAAGAAGTGGCTCGACTGCAACTGGAGTTAGCAGAGTATAAACAGGTACGGAGAAACATCGTCATCATCAGGTCATTTAGTCATGGAGACGCTCAACACATTAAAATACGCGTATAGAGCTCGGAACATCAAGAACAGATGCGTCGTCAACCAGGACCTCACGTCGCGCACCATCAACCAGCTGCGGCAAGAAGTGGCGCGGTTGCAACTGGAGTTGGCAGAGTATAAACAGGTACGGGGAAACATCTTCTTCAGGTCATTTAGTCTTCATCATAGAGCAAGACTAATTTACCAGAGGCAACTGGAGGATAATGCTTCCCCACCGAGCGCGGAACATCAATATCAGATTCGTCGTCAACCAGGACCTCAGAAGTAGGGTTGGTCTTTCTCATCATCATCGTCAGGTTATTTAGTTCCGCCGCTAGATTAACAAGACCCTCTTTTAGCCAGACGAAGTTCATAATAATGTATTATTAAATGCTATAGAAAAATAAAATAAAAAACATTAAGCCTTTCCAAACGATCGAGGGGAGTCGTGTCATGTGATTTTTTGTTATCATCAAGCGATACCGAATAAATATTTCTCTATTTTACAGGGTAAACGCGTGATATCAGAAAACGGCGAAGAAGGCTGGAGCGACGTGGTGCAAGAGAACGCGATTCTAACGGGCGAGGTGGAGGCGCTCCGCAGACGCGTGAAGGCCATGCAGGGCACCATCGAGCAGCTGTCGGCGCGGAACAGCGAGCTGGCCGCCGAGAAGGCGCTGGGCCACTGGGCGCCCAAGGACGCCAGCCCTGATGCCACGGACTGCTCGCTCACCGCCCTGGTCCAGGTCAGTCAGAGGAAGAAGGCTGGAGCGCGTTGTGCGAGGGATCGCGAGGTGTAGAAGCTACAGAGTCGTGAGAAGACGCTTCGCGCTAATCTAGGTCAGACGTGGTGCAAGAACGCGATCCTAATAGGCGAGGTGGAAACGCTATGGAGACACATGAGGACACTAGGTCGAACGCTATGGACTACTCGCTCACCGCCCTGGTCCAGGTCAGTCAGAGTCAGGAAGAAGGCTGGTGCGCGTTTGCGAAGAACCCCGAAGTGTAGGAGCTACGGAGACGTGAGAAGACGCCAGCCCCGGCGCCTGAGACTGCTCGGTCTTCGCACTGATCCAGGTCAGTCAGTCAGGAAGAAGGCTGGAGCGCGTTGTACGAGGAACCCCGAAATGTAGGAGCTACGGAGACATGAGAAGATGGCGCCTGACGCCTGAGACTGCTCGGTCTTCGCCCTGATCCAGGTCAGTCAGACGTGGTGCAAGAACGCGATTCTAACGGGCGAAGTGGAGGCGCTTCGCAGACGCGTGAAGGCCATGCAGGGCACCATCGAGCAGCTGTCGGCGCGGAACAGCGAGCTGGCCGCCGAAAAGGCGCTGGGCCACTGGGCGCCCAAGGACGCCAGCCCTGATGCCACGGACTGCTCGCTTACCGCCCTGGTTCAGGTCAGTCAGAGGAAGAAGGCTAGAACACATTGTGCGAGGGACCATGAGGTTTAGGAGCTACAGAGTCGTGAGAGGACGCTTCGCGCTAATCTAGGTCAGACGTGGTGCAAGAACGCGATCCTAACAGGCGAGGTGGAAACGCTATGGAGACTCATGAGGACGCTAGCTCCAACGCTATGGAATGCTCGCTCACCGCCCTGGTCCAGGTCAGTCAGTCAGGAAGAAGGCTGGAGCGCGTTGTGCTAAGAACCCTGAAGTGTAGGAGCTACGGAGACGTGAGAAAATGGCGCCTGACGCCTGAGACTGCTCGGTCTTCGTCCTGGTCCAGGTCAGTCAGACGTGGTGCAAGAATGCTATCCTAACCGGCGAGGTGGAGGCGCTCCGCAGACGAGTGAAGGCCATGCAGGGCACCATCGAGCAGCTGTCGGCGCGGAACAGCGAGCTGGCCGCCGAGAAGGCGCTGGGCCACTGGGCGCCCAAGGACGCCAGCCCTGATGCCACGGACTGCTCGCTTACCGCCCTGGTCCAGGTCAGTCAGAGTCAGGAAGAAGAATAAATAATTAAAAAAAAGAAGGCTGGAACTGAGAGGTGTAGGCGCTACGCAGACGTGAGAAGACACCAGCCTCGATGCCAGAGACTGCCCGCTTACCGCCCTGGTATAGATCGTTTCAAATTTTTGGTCGAAGGAAGCGCGGGGTGCGGGGAGTTTGATCCGAGCAATCCGGGTGTCATTATTGTACCTGTGTCCTGTGCGTGTACAGTGTACACTCATGGATAATTTAGCGTGTACCAATAACACTCAATCATTAGCGGAAGAATGGTAGGGCGCGTCTTCGTGGATGAAACGAAACGATCTATGCAGGTCAGTCAGACGTGGTGCAATCCTAAAAGGCGAGATGGAAACGCTATGGAGACTCATGAGAACGCTAGCTCCAACACTATACGCTGTGAAGGTCAAATCCCGAGAGAATGTTCAACTGTAATTGGACCCGAGCTCGAAGTTAAGTTTCGAGACTCCGACGGTGTCCTCCGGGGCCATTGAAGCTGCAAGTTATTGACCTAAAATTGGACATTCGTCCACGGCTCCGTCTCAGGCTACGGCTCGCTCTTGGGGCTTCGAGGGGAATGGTGGTTCCCCTCGGGTCTTCCGCTAACGGCGCACTGGACACTGGTGCTTGGTCATGATCATTACCATCTGATTCTAACTTATCTCCTCTCACTCAGGGCTACGTGAGCGAGATAGAAGACTTACGAGCGCAGCTGATGGAAGCGACGGCTCTGTACGAGGCCAGCCGCCGCCGCGAGCAGATGGTGGGCCGCACGCGACACGACTCCGTGCACGATACGTCCTCCGTCATAGACGACGCCAAACGGGAGCTCTATAAGGTAAGGGCTTCTTGTCAAGTGTTTTCTTTCATAGTGTAATAGTTGCTATGATATGCTTGCTGATGAGGGATGGGTTACTCCGAAGAGTGCTAAATAAAACCGACCCGTTTGAGTGCTGCTCATACACTGATTTATTGCTGAGTGATTCTACAGGCGTGAATTAAAACTAGGTCAAACTTATACGTAAAGTGTTTAACGCCTACTTAGCAATAAATGATTTAACTATATAAAAAGGAAATGTGCAAGTAATAATGTACGATGGCTCGTACACATAGGTTGTGTCGGTAAAAGTATTTTTATGTAATTGATCTTTATTCTCATTTACCATTAGCATTTATAGTCTTTTTCACCTAAGATGATCCGTATGACGTTTCGAGTTTGAAAGATTTAGAGATGTCACATAACTAAACCATAGCGATTCATCTATAGATTTTTTTCGAAGAGTTAGTAAAACCAATTTTTGGAGAAATAATTTGTGTAGGTGTTATTTAACAAAAAACATGTTTTTTTTAATTACAAATATTATTGTAACAATTTTTTATTCATAATATTCAAATTTCATGGTTCGTGTTCAAAAAAACGATTCCTNCAATAATATTTAAAATGTTACGCTTGAATTACCAACTAAACAAATAACTAACAATAATAATCTCACTTGTATTTAAAACTACCTGCATTAGTTAAGTACAGCAAATAAAATGTATTGCCAATTTTGGAAACATACAATTAAATGTTATGGTTAACTATATGAAATAATTCAAGTATTCCAATAACCCTATTGTTGTGGCTATTGACTATTATACCCAAATATTGTAAACGATACTATTGTAAATTGCCAAACTATCGATAGTCTAGAACAATCGATAGTATCGATACTATCGATAGTATTGATAGTTTTTTATTCAAAAGCGACAATACTATCGATACTATCGATAGTTTATTCTTCACGAGCAACAATACTATCGATAGTATCGATAGTATTGCACATATTCAATAGTATTGCCTCGTTTTGAGCTATCGATAGTATCGATAGTATCGACAGTATCGATACTATCGATAGGCCAATCGATAGTCTTGCGATAGTATGACTATCGATAGACTATCGATAGACTATCGATAGTCGACTATCGATCGGCAACACTAGTCGTCAACCAGGACCTCACGTCGCGCACCATCAAACAGCTGCGGCAAGAAGTGGCGCGGCTGCAGCTTGAGTTGGCAGAGTATAAACAGGTACAGGGAATTAACACAATCATCATCAGGTCATTTAGTGCTCATCATAGAGCAAGACTAATTTACCAGAGGCAACTGGAGGATAATGCTTCCCCACCGGGCTCGGAACATCAAGAACAGATGCGTCGTCAACCAGGACCTCACGTCGCGCACCATCAACAAGCTGCGGCAAGAAGTGGCGCGGCTGCAGCTGGAGTTGGCTGAGTATAAACAGGTACAGGGAACTAACACAATCATCATCAGGTCATTTAGTCTTCATCATAGAGCAAACTAATTTACCAGAGGCAACTGGAGGATAAAGCTTACTTACCACCGAGCGCGGAACATCAAGAACAGATGCGTCGTCAACCAGGACCTCACGTCGCGCACCATCAACCAGCTGCGGCAAGAAGTGGCGCGACTGCAACTGGAGTTGGCAGAGTATAAACAGGTACGGAGAAACATCGTCATCATCAGGTCATTTAGTCATAGAGCCGCTCAACACATTAAAATACGCGAACCGGGCGCGGAACATCAAGAACAGATGCGTCGTCAACCAGGACCTCACGTCGCGCACCATCAACCAGCTGCGGCAAGAAGTGACTCGACTGCAACTGGAGTTGGCGGAGTATAAACAGGTACAGGGAACTAATGCCCGTTTTCACGATCAATCCCTAATTTTTAAGTGTTCCCTATGAAAACAAAATTCCTGTTATGTGTTACCATAGGGGTCACTTAAAAAATAGGGATTGATGGTGAAAACGGGCATAACACAATCATCATCAATCAGGTCATTTAGTCTTCAACACAGGAGCAAGACTTATTTACTAGTAATGCTTACTCCGCGGGCTCGGAACATCAAGAACAGATGCGTCGTCAACCAGGACCTCAGAAGTAGGGTTGGTCTTTCTCATCATCATCGTCAGGTTATTTAGTTCCGCCGCTAGATTAACAAGACCCTCTTTTAGCCAGACGAAGTTCATAATAATGTATTATTAAATGCTATAGAAAAATAAAATAAAAAACATTAAGCCTTTCCAAACGATCGAGGGGAGTGTCGTGTCATTTGATATTTTGTTGTCATCAAGCGATACCGAATAAATATTTTTCTATTTTATAGGGTAAACGCGTGATATCAGAAAACGGCGAAGAAGGCTGGAGCGACGTGGTTCAAGAGAACGCGATTCTAACAGGCGAAGTGGAGGCGCTCCGCAGACGCGTGAAGGCCATGCAGGGCACCATCGAGCAGCTGTCGGCGCGGAACAGCGAGCTGGCCGCCGAGAAGGCGCTGGGCCACTGGGCGCCCAAGGACGCCAGCCCTGATGCCACGGACTGCTCGCTTACCGCCCTGGTTCAGGTCAGTCAGAGGAAGAAGGCTAGAACACATTGTGCGAGGGACCATGAGGTTTAGGAGCTACAGAGTCGTGAGAGGACGCTTCGCGCTAATCTAGGTCAGACGTGGTGCAAGAACGCGATCCTAACAGGCGAGGTGGAAACGCTATGGAGACTCATGAGGACGCTAGCTCCAACGCTATGGAATGCTCGCTCACCGCCCTGGTCCAGGTCAGTCATTCAGGAAGAAGGCTGGAGCGCGTTGTGCGAGGAACCTCGAAGTGTAGGAGCTACGAAGACGTGACAAGATGGCGCCTGACGCCTGAGACTGCTCGGTCTTCGCCCTGATCCAGGTCAGTCAGACGTGGTGCAAGAACGCGATCCTAACGGGCGAGGTGGAGGCGCTCCGCAGACGCGTGAAGGCCATGCAGGGCACCATCGAGCAGCTGTCGGCGCGGAACAGCGAGCTGGCCGCCGAGAAGGCGCTGGGCCACTGGGCGCCCAAGGACGCCAGCCCTGATGCCACGGACTGCTCGCTTACCGCCCTGGTCCAGGTCAGTCAGAGGAAGAAGGCTGGAGCGCGTTGTGCGAAGAACCCCGAAGTGTAGGAGCTACGGAGACGTGAGAAGACGCCAGCCCCGACGCCTGAGACTGCTCGGTCTTCGCACTGATCCAGGTCAGTCAGTCAGGAAGAAGGCTGGAGCGCGTTGTGCGAGGAACCGCGAGGTGAAGGCGCTGTCATGACACCAGCCCCGATGCCTGAGACTGCTCGCTCACCGCCCTGGTCCAGGTCAGTCAGACGTGGTGCAAGAACGGGATCCTATCAGGTGAGGTGGAGGCGCTCCGCAGACGCGTGAAGGCCATGCAGGGCACCATCGAGCAGCTGTCGGCGCGGAACAGCGAGCTGGCCGCCGAGAAGGCGCTGGGCCACTGGGCGCCCAAGGACGCCAGCCCTGATGCCACGGACTGCTCGCTTACCGCCCTGGTCCAGGTCAGTCAGAAGAAGAAGGCTGGAGCGCGTTGTGCGAAAGAACACGATTCTAACAGGCAAGGTGGAAACGCTACGGAGACACATGAAGACGCTAGCTCCAACGCTATGGAATGCTCGCTCACCGCCCTGGTCCAGGTCAGTCAGAGGAAGAAGGCTAGAGCGCGTTGGATCTATACAGGTCAGTCAGACGTGGTGCAAGAACGCGATCCTAATAGGCGAGGTGGAAACACTATGGAGACACATGAGGACGCTAGCCCCAACGCTATGGAATGCTCGCTCACCGCCCTGATCCAGGTCAGTCAGTCAGGAAGAAGGCTAGAGCGTGTTGGATCTATACAGGTCAGTCAGACGTGGTGCAAGAACGCGATCCTAATAGGCGAGGTGGCAACGCTATGGAGACACATGACGCTAGCTCCAACGCTATGGATTGCTCGCTCACCGCCCTTATCCAGGTCAGTCACGGGACTGTTTCCACCTCTCGTTGCCACCGCTGCAACTCCTGTGTAGCCAGGTTCTAAAGCTCGACCGCCAATAAAAACCCAACCAGTGAAGGTCAAGTCCCGAGAGAAAGTTAAACTGTCATTAGACCCGAGCTCGAAGTTAAGTTTCGACACTCCGACGGTGTCCTCCGGGGCCATTGAAGCTGCAAGTTATTGACCTAAAATTGGACATTCGTCCACGGCTCCGTCTCAGGCTACGGCTCTTGGGCCACTCCCTCCGGCTTCGAGGGGAATGGTGGTTCCCCTCGGGTCGTCCGCTAACGGCGCACTGGACACTGGTACGCCGACGGCTGTTGTCTGCTCTTTACCAGCTGATTCTAACTTATCTCCTCTCACTCAGGGCTACGTGAGCGAGATAGAAGACTTACGAGCGCAGCTGATGGAAGCGACGGCTCTGTACGAGGCCAGCCGCCGCCGCGAGCAGATGGTGGGCCGCACGCGACACGACTCCGTGCACGATACGTCCTCCGTCATAGACGACGCCAAACGGGAGCTCTATAAGGTACGGTTGGGCTTCTTGTCAAGTGTTTTCTTTCATAGGTCGTGTCGGTAAAAGTATTTTTATGTAATTGATTTTTATTCTCATTTATCATTAGCATGTAGTATCTTTATCGATGTTAATAAGAAAGGTGTAATCGAACTGTTTCACTTTACGAGCTCCATTACTTTTAAGTTTTTTTGCAAACACTATTTTTATTTGATGTAAACAACTTTAAATTAAACTTGATAGGGACCTGTTTCTAACAGCAATATGCAAGCTATCGCACAGGATTTCAATGAGGGTTTTCGCGATTGAAAAATCCGCCAGATGGCAATACGTAGACGCGAGGTCCAAGTGCTGCGTGATTGGTGGATTTTGACATATCTGTCAATGTCATGTCAAAAATAACCAATCATGCAGCATTTCGACCTACGTATTGACATCTGGCGGCTTTTTCAATCGCTTAAACCCTCATTCGTATATTACATTTCAAAGTCGTATTAGCAGTACTTGTTGATTTATCATTTATAATGTAGACACTACTGCTTTTTCTATTTATTTATATCAACCGACAGACAGTGGTGACTGAGTGTGTTGCGGCGCTTCTTCTCAGCACTTGCCATTTAACATTTGTAAATTAATAGAATTAGAAATTTTGACTTCGACTTTATCGATGCAGGAAAAGGAGCTTCTAGCCCGCAGCATGGGCGAGCTAGAATTCCAGCGCAAGCTCGAGATGACCGAGAGCGTGACGAGCGAGCGCGACGAGCGGCCCATCGGCGAGCGCGAGCGCGCGGAGGGCGAGAGCGCCGACGACTCCGAGCCCTCCGACGACGACGACACCGACGCCGACGACGCCGAGACCAAAGGTGACTCCCGTAGATATAGAAGCTAGCTAAGCGAGCTAGAGTTCCAGCGCAAGCTCGAGATGAGCGAGAGCGTGACGAGCGAGCGCGACGACGACGACACCGACGCCGACGACGCCGAAACCAAAGGTGACTACCGTAGATATAGAGAGCTCCTAGCCCGCAGCATGGCGAAACTTCCTGCCCCGTACAACCAAACTGTGGAATGGACTGTCGTCTGCGGTGTTTCCGGATGGATACGACCTGCAAGCTTTCAAGAGGAGAGCGCATCTTCACCTTAAAGGCCGGCAACGCACCTGTAACGCCCCTGGGTCTGCGGGTGTCTATGGGCGACGGTAATCACTTACCATCAGGTGATCCGTCTGCTCGTTTGCCTCCTGTCACAAAAAAAAAAGGCTAGAGTTCCAACACAAGCTCGAGATGAGCGAGAGTGTGACGAGCGAGCGCGACGAGCGGCCCATCGGCGACGACGACACCGACGCCGACGACGCCGAGACCAAAGGTGACTACCGTAGATACAGAGAGCTCCTAGCCCGCAGCATGGCGAGCTAGAGTTCCAGCGCAAGCTCGAGATGAGCGAGAGTGTGACGAGCGAGCGCGACGAGCGGCCCATCGGCGACGACGACACCGACGCCGACGACGCCGAGACCAAAGGCGACTTCATCAGTCTATCGAGGAGATAGCGAGTCGAGGAGCTGTCGAGTGTGAATTCAGTGTTAGAAGCGCTAGTGTAGCGCGTCAATGAATATCAGTTCTTCTAATCTTCTACACATGTTTAAAAAGTTGAACTGACGCTTGTGAACAAAGTTACCCGTTGTTATATTTTGATAGGGATAGTGAGCATTGGCTTATCCTGATAGCTCATCGAATCGCCATACCAAAATGCTTTATTGAATGTGAAGAACATGCAGTCTCTGTGTTTTCAAACTTTTATTACCAGACATAGGTAAGACATGATTTGACAATATGCCTACTTTTATCTTGTCCCAGGGCAACGCGATCTCACCGCTCAGCTGGCAGCCTTGAGCGAAGACATCGACACCAAAGCGCGGCTCATAGAACAGCTGGAAGTGTCGCAGCGGCGGCTCACCGCCCTAAGGCAGCACTACGAGCAGAGGCTCGACACCCTGCACCACCAGATCAAGGCCACCAACGACGAGAGGGATAAAGTTCTGGCGTCCTTAGGTATGTTATTGTAGTTAGGTATGTGTAAACGCGCTGGTAGCCTGGTATTCTCAGAGCGCTTTCACATTTAGGCGACTTTAGCAGCGCGACAGACGCGCTGCCGATAATTTCATACTATGTGACAGCGGATGCATGCCTTCACATTATAAAAACGTCGCTGCCGCGCTGCTGTTGCGCTTCTCACGCCCTAATGTGAAAGCGGCCTTAACTTTCCATTTGTTTAAGACCCGGTTTCCACCAAGGCAGAGCGAAGTAGACAAGCATTTTGAATAACCAGATTTCATTATTTCCACATCTCTTGGCTCCGCGGAAATGGATCGCACGGAGAAGAGAGAAGGGTCGTGCGGACTCATTTTCCAGTAGAATTTGACAGCGGCGCCGAGCGGAGCTGTGCGGAGTGTGTTTTCCTTTCATAGATAGCAATAGACTGACAGCAGCAATAGAACAGCTACGCACAGCTCACATATCTGGGAAGAAGAAGAAAGAAAGAATCCTACTAGCTCCGTCGCACATCTCTCGTCTCCATTCCGCTCCGCCTTGATAGACTTAATTTCTTCTTTATTTTTCTTACATACGAAATTTCTAAAACCAAATCTGCACTTTCTTTTTGTAGCAACGCAAGCATCCCCACCTAGTGAGAAACTGAAGCGCGTCAAAGACGAATATGAACGGCGGGTCTCTGCGATGTCCCGCGAGCTGCGGCGGCTGCAGGCGGCGCAGCGCGAGCACACGCGGCTGCAGCGCTCGCAGCAGCACACCACGCAGCAGATCCTGGCCCTGAGGAGCGACCTCCAGAACATGAAGCGGGACAAGGTACTCCCCGCAGCAGTGTCCCGGTGCGATGTCCCGCGAGCTGCGGCGGCTGCAGGCGGCGCAGCGCGAGCACACGCGGCTGCAGCGCTCGCAGCAGCACACCACGCAGCAGATCCTGGCCCTGAGGAGCGACCTCCAGAACATGAAGCGGGACAAGGTACTCCCCGCAGCAGTGTCCCGGTGCGATGTCCCGCGAGCTGCGGCGGCTGCAGGCGGCGCAGCGCGAGCACACGCGGCTGCAGCGCTCGCAGCAGCACACCACGCAGCAGATCCTGGCCCTGAGGAGCGACCTCCAGAACATGAAGCGGGACAAGGTACTCCCCGCAGCAGTGTCCCGGTGCGATGTCCCGCGAGCTGCGGCGGCTGCAGGCGGCGCAGCGCGAGCACACGCGGCTGCAGCGCTCGCAGCAGCACACCACGCAGCAGATCCTGGCCCTGAGGAGCGACCTCCAGAACATGAAGCGGGACAAGGTACTCCCCGCAGCAGTGTCCCGGTGCGATGTCCCGCGAGCTGCGGCGGCTGCAGGCGGCGCAGCGCGAGCACACGCGGCTGCAGCGCTCGCAGCAGCACACCACGCAGCAGATCCTGGCCCTGAGGAGCGACCTCCAGAACATGAAGCGGGACAAGGTACTCCCCGCAGCAGTGTCCCGGTGCGATGTCCCGCGAGCTGCGGCGGCTGCAGGCGGCGCAGCGCGAGCACACGCGGCTGCAGCGCTCGCAGCAGCACACCACGCAGCAGATCCTGGCCCTGAGGAGCGACCTCCAGAACATGAAGCGGGACAAGGTACTCCCCGCAGCAGTGTCCCGGTGCGATGTCCCGCGAGCTGCGGCGGCTGCAGGCGGCGCAGCGCGAGCACACGCGGCTGCAGCGCTCGCAGCAGCACACCACGCAGCAGATCCTGGCCCTGAGGAGCGACCTCCAGAACATGAAGCGGGACAAGGTACTCCCCGCAGCAGTGTCCCGGTGCGATGTCCCGCGAGCTGCGGCGGCTGCAGGCGGCGCAGCGCGAGCACACGCGGCTGCAGCGCTCGCAGCAGCACACCACGCAGCAGATCCTGGCCCTGAGGAGCGACCTCCAGAACATGAAGCGGGACAAGGTACTCCCCGCAGCAGTGTCCCGGTGCGATGTCCCGCGAGCTGCGGCGGCTGCAGGCGGCGCAGCGCGAGCACACGCGGCTGCAGCGCTCGCAGCAGCACACCACGCAGCAGATCCTGGCCCTGAGGAGCGACCTCCAGAACATGAAGCGGGACAAGGTACTCCCCGCAGCAGTGTCCCGGTGCGATGTCCCGCGAGCTGCGGCGGCTGCAGGCGGCGCAGCGCGAGCACACGCGGCTGCAGCGCTCGCAGCAGCACACCACGCAGCAGATCCTGGCCCTGAGGAGCGACCTCCAGAACATGAAGCGGGACAAGGTACTCCCCGCAGCAGTGTCCCGGTGCGATGTCCCGCGAGCTGCGGCGGCTGCAGGCGGCGCAGCGCGAGCACACGCGGCTGCAGCGCTCGCAGCAGCACACCACGCAGCAGATCCTGGCCCTGAGGAGCGACCTCCAGAACATGAAGCGGGACAAGGTACTCCCCGCAGCAGTGTCCCGGTGCGATGTCCCGCGAGCTGCGGCGGCTGCAGGCGGCGCAGCGCGAGCACACGCGGCTGCAGCGCTCGCAGCAGCACACCACGCAGCAGATCCTGGCCCTGAGGAGCGACCTCCAGAACATGAAGCGGGACAAGGTACTCCCCGCAGCAGTGTCCCGGTGCGATGTCCCGCGAGCTGCGGCGGCTGCAGGCGGCGCAGCGCGAGCACACGCGGCTGCAGCGCTCGCAGCAGCACACCACGCAGCAGATCCTGGCCCTGAGGAGCGACCTCCAGAACATGAAGCGGGACAAGGTAATCCCGCACTGCGCCCTCAAGTTCCACAGGCCCCAAGGCTCAGATATCGGTTAATTTTTCAAACCGTTATCACCCTAAATACACGTGAACGAAATAATTTCGTTTTGGTTCGCCGAAACCGATTTTCATAACGTTATTTTTCAGAACATTTCGGTTATGTTTTCGTTCTGTACCATAATAAACCGTTATATCGGGATCCAGCCAAATGCATTGAGCAAGTAATCACTTCGTTTTAAGTCGCTCGGAACGAAATTAATGAAAAAACCGTTAAAGAACATAATAATAACGGTATTTTTGAAACCGATTCCGAGCCTTGTCCCGCAGCAGTGTCCCGGTGCGATGTCCCGCAAGTTGCGGCGGCTATACACGGTATAAACAGTTCTATTCTATTCTAATCGAAATATTTTATTTTACAGGTCAAGTTAGTCCAAAGAATGCGAATGGAAGCGAAACGCCACGCGCAAGCTGAAGCCGCGAGAGCTAAGGAGGTAAGCATTCATCTTATGACAGTANGACAGTTGAATCTTATACATAATGTTTCTGTATTGTGCAGACTAACGACAGTCAGTAAACTAGCACATTCTACGATACAAATCAACCACTTCCAGATTCATAAACAGCCTGATAGACAACTATAATCTGACTGAATAGCTAGGCATCCCTTAGGACTTTATCTGTCCTAGAATTTCATGTAACAATTTTTTACAGGTAGCGCAACTGCGAAAAGAATCAAGAAAGAACGCGAATTTGATCAGATCATTAGAAGCAGAAACGAGGCTGAAAGAACAGGTTAATAAAATAGTCTTAAAGATTGCCAGTTAGGGACATTCATTCATTGTCAATCTGCATCAAAATATGAAATACAATGTTTTGTTTTTAAAGCTTTAAATAATGTTGTTATTTCCTAAGGTACTGAAACGCAAGCAAGAGGAAGTGTCGTTGCTTAGGAGAGGCCACCGCGACAAGCTTAGCAGTCGCGCTGCGGGCAGATTGCATGGTACGTATTAATCAAACTTCTACAGTTGTAACCACTTTTCAACAGTTCATATTAAAAAAAAACTATTAGGGTATCATCTTCAGTTGTCAGTCGCCATTGTATTAGGACGACGTCCCTTTTCTGGCCAAACGGGTATAGGGTGAAATTTTGTAATGCCACCTGGAGGGAAAGTACTGTAGATAGAATATTTTACTCGAAGAAAACATTTCTTTATTTTTAAAAATAAACAGAACTGCATTCAAAGATCGTCAAAAGAAAGTCGCCTTTATGTCGTGTTGTCGTCATATTCTACCTACTCTACCGGAAACACCCGACTAATGGTAATATAAAAAAGTCCAGTTTTAAAACATAAATAATTTCAGATCGCAACCGCAAAAACAAAATGGCGCACTGTCGAGAGGCGTGGTCCAAGCTCGACTGCTGGGTGTCCCGCGTTTGCGCCGCGCGGACCACGCTCGCCGAGCTGGAACACGCGCTAGAACAACAGCTGCGCCAGCGGGACACCGCCACGAGGGCCGCGCGGGACACGCGCGATCCCGACAATGAGCAGCTGCTGCAGTACTTGCGGACTGCTATAGCTGACACGCAGACGCACATTATGCAGATCGAGGTAATTTTAAACCTTGTGGGTTGTACACATAGGTTCAATATCACACAATTGCTTGAGGCGTAGTCGACCACGCTAGCTGACTTAGAACACGCGCTGAAACAACGGCTGCGCCAGCGGGACAGTGCTACGAGGGCCGCGCGGGACACGCGCGACCCCGACAACGAACAACTGCTGCAGTACCTGAGGACTGCTATAGCTGACACGCAGACGCAAATCATGCAGATCGAGGTAGGTGATGAACCTTAAGGATTGCATAATTAGGTTCAATATCGCATAACTGGCTTGTGGCTTAGTAGACCACGCTCGCCGAGCTGGAACACGCGCTGGAACAACAGCTGCGACAGCGGGACAGTGCTACGAGGGCCGCGCGGGACACGCGCGATCCCGACAATGAGCAGCTGCTACAGTACTTGCGGACTGCTATAGCTGACACGCAGACGCAGATCATGCAGATCGAGGTAGGTGATGAACCTTAAGGGTTGCACAATTAGGTTTAATATCGCACAACTGGCTTGCGGCCTAGTTAGCAGCTGCGGCAGTGGGATAGCGCCACGCGCGCCGCGCATTATAGTAAGGTTAATATTCGTACGGAATAAAGCAACAACCACAAGCTATCAAACGAAACCGATTTTGGATGACACTGGATGTCATTTGTGTAATCAATCACTGAACCAATCACCACGTTTCTGTAGCACTATTTCTCTCAAACATCCACTTATTTCACTCACGTAAAATCTGAAAAATCTCAGAGCTCATTATCTAAATATATAAAAGGAGAAACTGACTGACTGACTGACAGATCAACGCACAGCCTAAACGGCTAAACGTAGGCACTTGAAATTTGGAAGGGACGTAGCTTAGGTACCGTAGAGGTGCACTAAGAAAGGAATTCCCGCAATTCCCACGGGAACGGGAATTAGCGGGAAAAACGGGATTCACGCGTACGAAGTCGCGGGCGGCCGCTAGTTCAGCTCATAAAGCTCTTTTTATCACACAGTGTTGCAGCTAGTGACATCTCGCTCACTCAGTTCTTTGTTGCTGTATTCCGCAACTTTATGAATCGTACTATCGGCAACAGTGTTAACAGCCCATTGCCAGTCATGTCATCTCGTTTTATCGCAAAGAATTACCATTTGATTAGAGCGAGAGCAAAAACGGAAATGGCTAGTTAAGAGCGCTTGTAGACGTCCGTTTTTTCACCGGACGACGGACCGTCAAAAAACGGAAATCCTTTGTTTGCTGTCAATTTTCTCGCCGGACCTATGTCCGATGCATGTGCACACGTTCATTATAAACCATACGCCACCGCTTAATCCGGTGAAAAAATCGGGCCGTTGTCCGGTCAGAAAAACGGACGTCTACAAGCGCTCTAACAGTGTGACCGTGTGTACAGTCGCGGAATGAAAAGGTTCGCCAGTTTTCAAATTGATTCCTTCAACGAATCGGGAGCACATATTACCTTTTGAAACTATGTTACAGAATAATCTCGAGTTAGAGAAAATAATATTTAACTGTTCGTCAGTAAAGTTCAAAATTATTCAGATCAAAGTTGTTTGACGATTTATCTTGTCAAGAAGATTATGATTGATAAACTAAAACCTTCTTGTTGGTTCAACCTGCCATTATTATTTCTATTAAATAAAAAAAACTATTGTCAATTGGTCAATGTCATTAATGCATTGCACTAATGGGATAGAAAAATAAACAAGCAAAACCTTATTCGTTAGCAAACGTCATATTGATTTAAATGTTAGCAGCCCTGTTTCTTGCACTGTTATGTTGGCAGGTTTGACTCTTACAGTACCTAGTGCAAGCGAAAACCGATACTAAAGTGACGAACCTTTTCATTCCGCGACTGTACATTGCGCATTCTTATCCCCAGGAGGAGAATGACGAGAACGAGCTGCCTCGACTACTGGAGCAGATCGAGTCTGTGGAGGCGGCGCGCTACGCGCTCGAGCGGCTGGCCGCGCTGGCTGCCACGCACGCGCACGACGCCGCGCGCGCGCGCGCCTTGCTGCAGCACACCGGCGCGCGCCTCAAGGAGGTGAGCCCACACATCACAGAAACTACCCACAGATCACAGAAACTAGAATACCTGGAGATACCAAACGTCCAAGAGGTTGTAGATAAGTCTTGTAGGGCGTACAAACAGAGACTTCAGCGTCATGAAAATGTACTTGCTGCATCCCTTCTAAATTCTGAGAACTCTACATTCAGGCTCAGGAGAAAGCGAATAGCATCCATCTGAAGAGTTATTGTAAAGGAAACGAGGTGACGCATCATGGGATGTGCAGAACCTAAACTGTCATTAATGCGAATTCATCTAATCTGATAAAGGCTGACGGCTGATCGCAGATAGAATAAAAAAAAAAAAAAGATCACAGAAACTACACACAGATCACAGAAACTACCCACAGATCACAGAAACTACACACAGATGACAGAAACTACACACAGATCACAGAAACTACCCACAGATCACAGAAACTACCCACAGATCACATAAACTATACACAGATCAAAGACACTACCTACAGATCACAGAAAGTACCCACAGATCACAGAAACTACACACAGATCAAACAAACTACCCACAGATCAAAGACACTACCTACAGATCACAGAAACTACCCACAGATCACAGAAACTACNCTAATTTACGCTTCTAAATAATATATTAGAAACACCATGTGATTAAATTGAACAAAATTACAAACTAAACATGTATTGTCAAAAGTTACTTGAAAACAATGAAAAAATACTTTTCAAAATAAAACACACGTGTTTGCTGTCACGGCAAAAACCACATGGCCGATATTAATTGATTTTAGTTGTGTATCGCTGAGTGTTGCAATTACAGACATTCAATAAATACTTTACGAAATATGAGGGTGGTACAATTTACCCGGCGGTACAATATACCGAACTCTCCCCTACGTATCATGTGTTAAACCATGTTAAAATGTATGAACTGTATTGTGTATGTGACTTTGTTGGTGTACCTAATAAATAAATAAATAAATAAAGCCGGACACCTGGCAACCCTATTCGCGAAGGTATTTTAAAATGTATGCTCAATATCTAGTAATTTAGTTTGTCTCAAGAGTCGAGCACCGTTTCGTTGACATGCGTCAGTGATCGGCATTGAGCCGATGCCATAGGGCTGACTTCGGTAAATTTATGTGCGACGTGCAGTGCCAAACTGCGGAAAATGGCGGAGGAAAAACATTCTGTCTGAGAATTATTGTCAAATTTGTAAATACCCGCATGCGTATTGCTGATATTACATTGCTGTACTGAATAAACTCTTTGAATTTTAAAACTTTGTTGGCAGCGTGCGACGCGGTTCAGTGCGGCTGCGTGACCTTGGCGTGTACGGGCGCGACGACGACCCCATGACGCAGTCGCTGGTGGAGGCCACGCCCCCGCGGCCCGCGCCCCTCGCCCGCGTGCCCAGCGCGCCCGGCAGCCTGCGGTGAGTGTGACGTCACGCGCAGGACCAGACATGACGCAGTCGCTNCATAATTAGGTTCAATATCACACAACTGGTATGCGACATAGTAGACGCACTCGAAACACAGCTGCGCCAGCGGGACACCGCCACGAGGGCCGCGCGGGACACGCGCGACCCCGACAATGAGCAGCTGCTACAGTACTTGCGGACTGCTATAGCTGACACGCAGACGCAGATCATGCAGATCGAGGTAGGTGATGAACCTTAAGGGTTGCACAATTAGGTTCAATATCGCACAACTGGCTTGCGGCCTAGTTAGCAGCTGCGGCAGTGGGATAGCGCCACGCGCGCCGCGCGTTATAGTAAGGTTAATATTCGTACGGAATAGAGCAACAACCATAAGCTATCAAACGAAACCAATTTTGGATGACACTGGATGTCATTTGTGTAATCAATCACTGAACCAATCACCACGTTTCTGTAGAACTATTTCTCTCAAACATCCACTCATTTCACTCACGTAAAATCTGAAAAATCTTAGAGCTCATTCAGCTCATAAAGCTCTTTTTATCACACAGTGTTGCTACTAGTGACATCTCGCTCGCTCAGTTCTTTGTTGCTGTATTCCGCAACTTTATGAATCGTACTATCGGCAACAGTGTTAACTGTCCATTGCCAGTCATGTCATCTCGTTTTATCGCAAAGAATCACCATTTGATTAGAGCGAGAGCTAAAACGGAAATGGCTAGTTAACTGTGTGACCGTGTGTACATTTTTTTTTTTATGTGATAGGAGGCAAACGAGCAGACGGATCACCTGATGGCAGGCCTGGCTCACTCCGTGCGGTACATCCGATAATTACCTACAGCGAAGCGCCCCGCCGGCGGGTATTATATCAGTCGAGTGTCACGCGCGCGCCCGTCAGGACGCTGGCGTGCGTNAACCACAGATCACAGAAACTACCCAAAGATCACAGAAACTACCCACAGATCACAGAACACACAGATCACAGAACAGGGAGATGCGAAAAGGGGGCGGGGCCCTTGATTACTTGTGTGTGTGATGTAATGAGAAACTGGGTTTCGAACTTAGCTCATTAGTTAGCATCTCTCTAGATCTGTGTGGCGTAAGCATTATGCCCGTTTACACCATCAATCCCTAAATTTTAAGTGAATCCTATGGTAACACATACAGGAATTTTGTTTTCATAGGGGTCACTTAAAAATTTGAGATTAATGGTGAAAACGGGCATTAAGGTCCTATGTCCCCTAGATGGGGCAGAGGACATCCACAACAGTCCTTATCGCGTTCGGTCTTGACATTCGCGTTTGATCTCACTCTAGATCTTGCCGATTTTCTTCGCCTCGTCTGCTACAATGCACTGCCAAGTTTGCTTGAGGCGACCACGTTTGCGTTTTCCTTGTTTGGGGATGTGATCGGGATCCCTTCGGAGAGTTATACGCCAAAGTGCGGTCACCGAGCAGATAGAATTTCGTCCAATGTCCTCAAGCTATCCATCCTTATCGCTCGCGCGTAATTATATTGCTGTCGCACTCGCACACTCACTGCGGCCGCCCACAGTCGCGACTGCAATATACTTAATTACGCGCGAGCAATAATGATCGGTAGCTTAGGGTCATTGGACGAAGTTCTTTCTGCTCGTCGACCGGACTTTAATTAAGAATTGTATCCTATTCCCCAGCTGGAAGAGAACTCGGAGCGCGCGGCGAGCGCCCTGCGCGCGGCCGGCGACCACAACCTGAACCCCTGGGCCGTGCCGCCGCACGCGCTGCACGCGCTGCTCGCGCACGTCTCCTCCGGCTCCTCCACGCGCGCCGTCTCGCCCACTGACAGGTGCGTGGCGCCGCTGGCGGGTCAGACTACTGTAGCGTCTCCAGCTGGAGAGAACTCGGAGCGCGCGGCGAGCGCCCTGCGCGCGGCCGGCGACCACAACCTGAACCCCTGGGCCGTGCCGCCGCACGCGCTGCTCGCGCACGTCTCCTCCGGCTCCTCCACGCGCGCCGTCTCGCCCACCGACAGGTGCGTGGCGCCGCTGGCGAGTCACAGGACGACTACGGTGACACCACGCCACTCGCGTGTCACAGGATGACTACGGCGCCATCCTAGTGATAGTGACTGCAAATGTCCATTCACTAATAACTACTAGCAAATACTTATATTATACTTCCTCGTCATGGATAAAAAAAAATATGACAGGTTCATGGTACCGCGCTGGCAAGTCACAAGACGACTACGGTGACGTCAGCCTAGCGACTGCAAATGTCTTTCACTATACACTAATATAGACTCTTACAAATATCATTCACTAATAACTACTAGGACATGATTCTAGCTCCTCCACGCGCGTCGTCTCGTCCACCGGTAGATACGTGCTGGACACAGGACTTTATACTGTAATGGCATCATTCTAGTGACTGCGATTTATCGAATCCTCTCGCTCCTTCCTCCTACTTTTTCCGTCTGAGCCACTGGCGAGTGATGGGTGGCACCGCTGGCCGGGTCACCGGACTTAACAGTCTTAAGAACTCCTCGGTCCTCTGTCTTAAATTTCAAGAACACATTGAAAATTAAACAAAATACTCATAAACCTATAAAAATAATGCCTTTAGTGGTAATTTGTAATGGTTGTTCCATGTGTAGCACGCTGCTGGAGTTGCGTCGGCAGCACACGAACGGCGTGCGCGAGGTGGCCACGGCGCCCGCCTCGCCGCCCGACGAGCCCGCGCCCTTCCAGAGGAACACGTGAGTATACAATACACTTGTTATGATCCATGACACATAGCACCTTTGACGTGACACCACAGAATAATAATAAGTACTACGTACAGAAAGTACGACGACATCGTAAAGGTGGCAGGGAAGCGCTGAACGCAGGCCGCTACCAATCGATCAACATGGAAAGCATTCTGGGAGGCCTATGTTCAGCAGTGGACGTCCTGTGTCTGAAATGATGATGATGGTGACGGAAAGTTTTCTTCGCGAAGGTATTTTAAAATGTATGCTCAATGTCGTCAATAATATTAAGGTGTAATTTAGCTTGTCTCAAGAGTCGAGCACCGTTTCGTTGACATACGTCAGTGATCGGCATTGAGCCGATGCCATAGGGCTGACTTCGGTTTTATATTTGATGTGCAGTGCCAAACTGCGGGAAATGGCGGAGGAAATACATTTTGTCTGAGAACTTTTGTCAAATTTGTAAATACCCGCATGCGTATTGCTGATACTACATTGCTGTACTGAATAAACTATTTGAATTGTAATACTTTGTTGGCAGCGTGCGACGCGGCTCAGTGCGACTTCGCGACCTCGGCGTGTACGGGCGCGACGACGACCCTATGACGCAGTCGCTGGTGGAGGCCACGCCCCCGCGGCCCGCGCCCCTCGCCCGCGTGCCCAGCGCGCCCGGCAGCCTGCGGTGAGTGTGACGTCACGCGCCGGCCCAGACATGACGCAGTCGCTGGTGGAGGCCACGCCCCCGCGGCCCGCGCCCCTCGCCCGCGTGCCCAGCGCGCCCGGCAGCCTGCGGTGAGTGTGACGTCACGCGCCGGCCCAGACATGACGCAGTCGCTGGTGGAAGCCACGCCCCCGCGGCCCGCGCCCCTCGCCCGCGTGCCCAGCGCGCCCGGCAGCCTGCGGTGAGTGTGACGTCACGCGCCGGCCCAGACATGACGCAGTCGCTGGTGGAAATTATCTGCTATACTCTCGACTCTCTAAAGCACAACATTTATAAAAATTTTGCTGCGGTAATGCACTCCAGGTAACAGTGTGTGATGCTCATTGCTCATAGTGACTTTCGATACAGAGCCCCGTACATACGTTATACATAAATTATGGAAAGAAAACACCCAGACCAATACAAATCAATCAATTTTAGTGTGATATTTTTATTTATTAATAAACAAAAAGACTGAACAAAATTGATACGTGTACTGATTAATGTAATTAACCACATGCAAAGCTTTGTGAATTGCAACAACTATATTTTATTATCCAAGCTCTAAATAATCGCTACTACGAGTAACTGATCATAAAATGTTTTTCCAATCGCTCAAGCTCCCGAGGATCTACCGATAGGTCGGGTGACGTAATCTTGAAATTCTTTTAGCCGGCGCGGAACTTCCGGAAGGTCGGGTGACGCCACGCCTCTTTGAACCGTGTTTACTTTGGCAGTTATATTCTATATTTATTCGATTCTAAAATATATTATTCCCAAAAATTTTGAAAGTTGTTTTAATTTGTATCACTTGGATATGATTTGTATTAGAAAGTGCTGTGAGTGTGACACTTGAACGGAAGGAAGTCAACCTAACCTAACCAACTGCGTATTTCTAAACTGCGTATTTCTATACTGTGTAGCCGCGAGAGCTCTTTGGCGCGCTGTCTTCGGCGAAGTATTGCGCGCGCAGATTTTGACAGCGCGAAATACCTACTTTAGCAGAAATACCAAGCCTTAATAACTTTTGATCTATACTGCTTAATCAGTAAGTTGGAAAATATTCCCGGCATCTTTTAAACGCGAAATTCTCAGTAATGTGCCGTTCCCGGGCCTGTCAAGTTGAGAAATATTCCCGCTATCTTTAAGCCTAACTGGTATAACAAGTCCAAATTTTCTGTTGTTTTTGGACCTTAAGACAAAGGAATAAAGTTCAACATATAGTGGGAACTATTCCAGTGCCGTTTATAGGGTCAAATCATTTCACCTCGTTTGTCATATGTTTTCGCCTTGCCCGCCATTGTCGTGCCACGCTTCGCTAACGCGCGCCGCTAACGCAGAGATGCCGCACGCACGCCGCCCGCGTCGCCCGGCGCGACGAGGCGCGCGCGAGACGACGACGTGTTTCTGCGACTCGCCGGCGCGCAAGACACGCTGCCGCAAGGTGCCGTCAGGGAGATGCCGCTCAAGGTACACTGTTTCTATTGCTCAGTTATTACAGTCTATTTAAAGTATTTTTCACCAATCATTTTGTATAGAGTATGTTGCATTAGGGCGGCCTCCATTACAAAGGCCTCCCCCAAGGTTTTCCACAATGAACGGTCCTGCGCTGCCCGCATCCAAGCACCTCTCGCGACCTTCATCAGATCGTCGGTCCACCTAGTGGGAGGTCTGCCCACGCTACGTCTTCCGGCTCGTGGTGGTCACTCAAAAACTTTCCTGACCCAGTGGCCATCAGCTCTACTAGCTATGTGCCCCGCCCACTGCCACTTGATTTTAACGTTTCTGCGGGCTATGTCAGTCACTCTCATTTCTGATTAGATCCAGAAACTCCATGCATAGCACGCTTCATCGCCCTTTGGGTGACCTTGAGCCTTCTTATGAGGCACAGTTGCTTACAAGAGAATATTTTGACGCGCAGTGCAGTTCGTAACGCCGCGCAAATGCGGTCCGACCTTAAGAGCCTGTCCAGTACACCTAGGCTTCGCGCCGCGATAAGATTTTATCGCGTCATTTTATCGATTTTACGCGATAAGCCCATACGTTTGTCGTCTAAAATCATTGATAAGATTTTGTCACGGTACGCCTCCTAGCCCGGTAGAGGACGCGTTTTTACTCGGGAGTTTTGAATCGCGCGATAGTGAGGTCCAAGAGGTTCATACGTTCTGTCCACATGCAGTCGCGCGTTTCGCCTAAGAATCTCAATGGCGCGGTTCAAAACGGACGAGTTAAATCGCGTCATATGTGTGCTTAGTGCGAGTTTGCATTGAACGTCGTCGCTAGCGAGTGCGTTTAATGCATTTTTTACGCAGTCGCTATAGTCTGGTCTGCGAACACGTAGAATTTGGTCCAATGACCCCGAGCTACCCATCCTTATCGCTCGCGCGTAATTATGTTGCTGTCGCGCTCGCACACTCACTGCGGGCGCCCGTCGCACAGTCGCAACGTCGACAAGGATGGATAGCTTGGGATCATTGGACAAAATTCTACGTGCTCACAGACCGGGCTTTAACTAGATGTAAACTCGCATTAAGTTCCCTGGACATGGCCTAAATGAACTGTCGACACAGGGCCGGCCGACGGCGGGCGGCGGCGGCGCGGGCTCGTCGTGGGTGCAATGCACGCACGTATGTGAGGGCCACGCGGGCGCGGCGTTGGCGCTGGCCGCCACCACGCATCTGCTCTACAGCGGCGGAGTCGGTCAGTTGATAAGGAGACGTGTTCTTTGACAGGGCGACTTTGTAAACAGTATCTATTTTTTTTAATAAGCTCTGTAGAACAATTTAACAATACAACTTTATCTTAATTATCACCGCAAAAGAAAACATTAAAAATCTGATTCGCGTGTGCCCATATCCTAAGTTTTTAACGAAGCAAATTATCCACGTGTGCCAATTTTACAACGGATAAAAGTAATTAAATATGAAAGAAAATATGTTTTCTTTACGTAAATCGATTAAGTTACTGATTCTGAGTCGCTCGCTCCTAATTTGGGTACTGATTGCAAAGTCACCCTGAATGTATGTATTTACAAAAAAAAAGTATTTAAGTATGTTTATATCCGTTGTCCAGTACCCATAAACTTTGCTTAGTTTGAGACTAGAGGCGCACTGTAAAATTTCCAAGGATATTATTTATGAGTTTGTTCCAGCGTTTCTTCTCAGCACTTGCCATATTATGTTTGTCTAGAAGCGCTGGTAGGGCTCAAAGGATAAGGAGACATGTGAAGCCCCTTAAGGGCTACCTTTTTTGTTTTGACGTTCTAATGATTTTGGCTCTGGGCAGTGTAACACGTGTAACGTACTAAGTACGTTACAAGTGTGCCAAAAAATATTAGTCTAAACAGAATAAAGTATTTTTGATTTTGAACCTTCCTCTTGCATAACTCTTATCGATGGCTCCTACGTATACTGGCGTAAGTGAAAAAAGTAAATTTTACAGGAGAGCCATTTTATTGGCCAGAACCATATTTTTGGGTCATATCTTCTGACCTACTAAAACGAATTTAATGAAATTTCACATTTAGCCTTAACATGTAATGCTTTTGCTACTGCTGTTATCAATTTTTATATTTTTCTTATATATTTTGAGATTTTACGCATTGCCCTTTTACGTCGGCATATTTCTATAATTTCATGTATATAGTTCAACGTAAAGAGACTTAAATGACAACGTAAATATAATATTTTAAGCGATTACTCTCTTTATTTATGCATGTAATTATTTTAATTGTTATCATGTGCTATATCAATAATAAATCAGTTAGAAAAAGTCGTTTAATGTACCGTTTTACGTTTTAACGCAAATACGCCCATATACTGTGCTCGAGATTTAGTTAGGTCTTTTAACATAATGTGTCATATTTTAAAAAAATATAAATAACTTGAAAAAATCGAATTGCCTAAGGCGGGAATTGAACCCACGATGCCTTAGGCAGTTCGATTTTTTCAAGTTATTTATAATTTTCAAATTAGTTTGAGATGCGACTCTTAACGCTAAAAATTAAATAACTATATAATGTGTCATAATTTATAAATAAAACAATTTGCTAAATATTTTCATGGCTTTATTTAAGATTTGGATTATAAAAAATATATGTTTATGTAAGCAACTACTCGTATAGATTGACGAATCGTATGATTGGGCTTTATACGTGGCGTAGTTTTGCACATACGCCTATTTGCCTAAAATTTTATTTTGTATCTAATGGAAAATGACGTCACGCGCCGGCCCAGACATGACGCAGTCGCTGGTGGAGGCCACGCCCCCGCGGCCCGCGCCCCTCGCCCGCGTGCCCAGCGCGCCCGGCAGCCTGCGGTGAGTGTGACGTCACGCGCCGGCCCAGACATGACGCAGTCGCTGGTGGAGGCCACGCCCCCGCGGCCCGCGCCCCTCGCCCGCGTGCCCAGCGCGCCCGGCAGCCTGCGGTGAGTGTGACGTCACGCGCCGGCCCAGACATGACGCAGTCGCTGCTGGAGATGACGAGATGCAAACGGGAATTTGGCTTACATTCCCCCCAGCTAACCAAACGGGCAGCGGATCCCTGATATTGGCCTCAGTAGGCGACTGACGACGACTCTCAAAAAAACTTCAAAGAGGAATAATGTTTTACTCGACAAAATGGCAGCGCACAAGTCATGCAAAGCCAATAACCAAAAAAAAAAGAGTAATGGCAGGATATGTTTTGACGTGAGCCAAATGGCCATTGTGGGGGAGGTCTATGTTCAGCAGTGGACGTCCTATGGCTGAAAAGATGATGATGTTTGACGTGGTTCACCAACGCCTAGTTTGTATTTTCAGAGGCCTTAGTCCTCTGGGGGGCACGGGGGCGCAGTCGCCGGTGTCCCCGCGGCGCGTGGCCGACAGCCCGCGCCTGCCGCGCCGCCAGATACCGCAGCCCGTGCATAAGCCCGCCTCCTTGTACGTATCACCTCTGTATGACACACTCATAACGTCAATATTCCTTCGGAACAGAGCAACAAACACGAGCTGTCAAACGAAAACGATTTTGGATGACACTGGATGTCATTTGTGTGTCTAGTGTCAGGATTATTTCACTGTTGTGTACAATTAATCAATCACGGAACCTGTCACCACGTTTCTGAAGCACTATTTCTCATAAACATTCACGATTTCACTTACGTAAAATCTGAAATCTCAGAGTTCAAATTTTCAGCATACCATTAAGTGATAACGAACTGTCAAATAGTTACGCGTCTCTTTTTATCACACAGTGTTGCTGCTAGTGATATCTCGCTCGCTCAGTTCTTTGTTGCTCTATTCCGCTAGGTATATTAACTTTATGGACACACTACACTACGACGCGGTAGGATATAACACACCCTTAAGAAACACTAGGGCGCATATGCCTACAGTAAATAGAAGTAGCACACGTTTGAAAAACAAACAAAATTCAATTACATATAGCTCGCAAAAATGCGCGAAAATCTGCTGTTGTGCTCAGTGCAACATTTGGACTGCTATAGGTTAAAAATAACGACACTCTAAAACCTCGCCTACAGAATATACTAGACTGAAAGAAGATAAAAGATTAGAAGAATACATAATAAGAAAGCCAATTGGGACACACAATATGTGCCTGCGTTAGAAACAACACAATTCAATATTCCTTTTTATTCACAAAACACTTCTCTTTTTATCACACGAAAACCAACAAATGAGAAACTGACACAAAATCAGTAGTTGAAACACGATGCTAAAAGCGCTCTTTCTTTATCTGAAGATATAATTTTCGGACACTTTATTCTCTCTCTCTCTCTCTCTCTCTCTCTCTCTCTCTCTCTCTACTATCTTCCCTCTCCCTTCCGCACCTCGGCGTCCACCGCGTATCTGCATGTACACAGCTTGGGTATATGTATGTGCTACACAAGTAGTTGGCTAGTTGGGAAGTAGTTAGATTTTTTTAATACTTTTATTACTATTACTTACTTGTCTATGCTTTTTTTCTAACGTCTTATGGCTAGCGTTATTTTTAAGGAACCTAAATCAATCGATCAACAATAGAACTAACGATATCTGTAGGTACGCACTTTATGATCTGCATGACACTTCACTTCAACTGATATTAAATCATAGACAAGTAAGATTTGTTGTGAACGTTTTACAAAATATAAATAATATTGGTTTGAATAAAGTTTTCTTTTTATTTTTGTGAAGCGTTTGCAATATTGTAGTTTTGGGAAATAGTTTACTTTAATAGCTGGCTGATACATGTATAGATTGCGATATAAGAGCGCCACGTGTGCAATACTGAGCTGTTAAAAATCTGCTTTTAATGTAGTGACATAGGACAGTTACGTCATCATTTGAATAAAATATGTTATAAGTGTAGAGAAGCTAAATCGGTTACTTGTTATATTAATTTAATTCCAAATAGTCATGTTTTTCAAGAATGAATTAATGTTCTGTTAATCTAGACCTTATTTAATGTTGATATGGACTCAAAATCTTGCCATAAATAAAAGAAGTGAAAAATCTTAAGTTTTGTTGACTGGGCCAATATAAACTACGCGTTCAACTTTCGTCCGATGATTGGTCTCGCGTTGCACACGTGGCCGCGGTTCGTGCGAGAGCGGAGGGAGCGGACGCTGCCGGACCGGTATTCTTATTGCAAATCTTAGCAACCGGCTGCTGATACAATAGCAACGCGACTGCTACGCCAACCAATGACAGCGCCGCGTAGGCATGTTTCCTGCGTAAAAAAGCAGGAGTTTAAATTAGTCCGTCAGTTAACTTATCAAAAAATACTCGATACGTATTTTATAGTTTTTCAAACTATTGAAAATTAAAAGAGATAAAGCGCGCCAAAGTTCAAAAGAGGCCTGTGGACGTCAAGGAGTGCTTAAAAGGGTAACGTCACGCGGATTTCAACGTATCATAACTTCGTAATAACTTGTTTGATTGATAAATACAAAAACACGTGTCCAATATTTTTTGATAATATAATTGTCGGACTTTTTTTTATTTAGGAAACTAGCCTATTGCAGATGGCGGTAGTTTCCATACATTTTTTGCAGTCGCGATGCAATTGTCAAGCAACCGGTTGCTTAGATTCGTAATAACCCCGCGGTTGCTTGCAGCCTGCTGACTGATCTCAACATAGTCGAGGACTGACGTTCGATGACTGACATCTGACGTCGCGCCGGGCTGCGCTAGCGAATACTGGGGTTGCGGACGTACGTCGAAGCTTGCCGTGGGTCAATGGAGACGATTGTACTTTGTTAGAAACTAACTTTAATCAATGACGCTATAAATTTGAGCAGTCAACTTATCCTTTAATAATGTTGATAATTTTCGCATTTTTTTTTCAACCTTACCAGCTTTTTTTTTTCATTAATTATTTGAAGACGTTGCTCTCGAAATAATGATATGCTTTTGGCAATTCACCATAGTTTATTATTTCTCTCCATTGACCTTACGTTTATAAATGAAGTAGCCTGTCCAATCGGTGTGCCAGTGAAGATATGCCGCCCCGCGCTGTATTTTATGTAGCCAATATAATAAGCCTGTTGCCTAACTTTTGCCAAAAGTGTCAATTAATCTTTTAAAGATCTGCATCAAATGCTTCAAATTAATATTAAGTTATGATATTTTAATAACCTTATTTAAAATAGCAGTGAATAAAGCAGTTATTTCTTTTACTGTAGTAGATGTCAACAACTGTGAAGGCAGTGATTTTTAAATTTTATTTAATTAATTGTCAGATAAAGAACAATAATAATAAGACTAATCTAATCACTAATCGACCAAAGCTAAGAGAATATTATATAATAATGTATAAAAAAATAGGATTAAAAATGATGGGGTATTTTAGCTTACAACGAATGGTATTTCAAAGATCACTTAGTGAAGAGATATAATTTATATTAGCTTTAGAATATCGCAGTAAACAAATGATATCTAGTTAATTTAGCATTTTTAATTGTGTAGCTGTTGTATTAATCGAAATGCATTTGGTTGTATAAGTAGTGAATGGTCACAATGTAAGCTTTAACCGTAGCGTACGCTGTATATATACGTAGTCTAATAAACTGTTTTGAGTAAGCTTGTGTTTGTCTGCAATCGTGGTTGCATCCCGCGTGCATGAGCACCTTATTTGTCACCTTATTTACAGCATGAGTTGTATTTTGGTTTGCCAAATGTGCTAATACAATATACAGTTGGCCAACTTATCTGTGTTTTATGACAACTACAAATATATGTCAACGTGAAATTGTGAACTCCGTCAGTTTATAATTTACCGCGTGAGGTTGTAAACTAACAGTGGTTAGGTTAGGTTGTAATCTGACTACGTCAAGTGAAGTTGTAATCTGACTACGTCAAATTATAATCTGATGAAATTCACAATTTTACGGTGACTTAGGGCTGATTTTTCAATCGTCGGATAACTTTAACTGAAGAATTAGTTTGCCAGATTGACAGTTTCAGTATGGGAAATATGTCAAAATGACAAGTTTATTCTTCAGATAAAAGATATCTGGCGATTGAAAAATCAGCCCTTAATTAATAATTTTTTTATGTGAAAAATTGTCAACACAGATAAGTTACAACGATTGAAACTAACATTGTGTTAAGTTTGTTTAATTTGCAATATTTATGATTTTGGAAGAATAATATAAACTAATAAAATAATTTACATAGTATTGCCCTTATAGATATTTTTGTGCGTAGAAAATAAGTGACAAAACCATTTTTCACAAAATAATTTGAATATAAATGAATATTAAAATTGAAAAAATAATGTGAGTATTTAATAAATAGTTATTTAGTTAGAGCGCATTAGATTTGCAAGAAGATAAGTAAGTACCTACAATATTTTTATATCTTTCCGTTTGCACCACTGCATGTTTTTTTCTAGTGTGCTAGCAACTCTAGAAATAGTTTTTTAGCTGCTTTTGCCAACCAGCCATTCCCTACACATTTCACCTAAGGTGGTCACATGGGAAATTGGCAAATCTTGTCACAGTAACATTATTTTAAATTATACAACATTTTCATCATATTCAGCCACCATAATAAACATTGAAATACATGAAAATGTTTAATCGATCAATCGTTCATAAATTAAAAATTCGAAATTTATTTTTAACACAACAGTAATACATTTTCGACCTACATAAAAAACTGACTGACAATATCATGAAGGATTCCATGTGTATGAAAATACTATTCAAACTAACCGCGCCATCTACAGCGTAAAGGCGAAAACATACTTAGCAAACATAATAAAACGGACCTTATTTGCAAATGTAGCTAATATCCCGTCTTTTGTGCCTTATAATAATTTGCAAACTAAATTAATAACTTTTGATCTATACTGCTTAATCACTAAGTTGGAAAATATTCCCGGCATCTTTTAAACGCGAAATTCTCAGTAATGTGCCGTTCCCGGGACTGTCTCAAGTTGGTAAATATTCTCTCTATCTTTAAGCTTTTAACGGGTATAACAAGTGCAAATTTTTCATTGTTTTTGGACCTTAAGACAAAGGAATAAAGTTCAAAATATGGTGGAAACTATATTCCACTGCCAGACAATCTACCACCTCGTTTGTCATAATGTTTTCGCCTTGCCCGCCATTGTCGTGCCACGCTTCGCTAACGCGCGCCGCTAACGCAGAGAGGCCGCACGCACGCCGCCCGCGTCGCCCGGCGCGACGAGGCGCGCGCGGGACGACGACGTGTTTCTGCGACTCGCCGGCGCGCAAGACACGCTGCCGCAGGGCGCCGTCAGGGAAATGCCGCTCAAGGTACACTGTATTCTATTGCTCAGTTATTACAGTCTAAATAAAGTATTTTTCACCAAACATTTTGTATAGAGTATGTTGCATTAGGGCGGCGCTGCAATGAGCGTCGCCCGCACACTGCACAGTTGCTTCGGTCATTTCAGCCGAAAGACGTCCACTGCTGGACAAAGGCCTCCCCCAAGGTTTTCCACAATTAACGGTCCTGCGCTGCCCGCATCCAGGCTCTGCCCGTGACCTTTACCAGATCGATCCACCTAGTGGGAGGCCTGCCCACGCTACGTCCTCCAGCCCATGGTCGCCACTCGAGAACTTTTCTGCCCCAACGGACATCGTCTCTACGAGCTATGTCACTATCGTCTCTACGTATCTCGTAGAGGTTGCTCAGTTATTACAGTATAATTAAAATATTTTTCACCAATCATTTTGTACAGAGTATGTCGCATTATGGCGACGTGTCGCTGCGCGTCACAGCACAATTGCTTACAAAGGAATATTTTGACGCGCAATGCAGTGCGCGCAAATGCGGTCCGACCTTAAGAGCCTGTCCAGTAGGCCTAGAATTCGCGTCGCGATAAGATTTTATCGCGACATTTTATCGTCTAAAATCATCGATAAGATTTTGTCACGGTACGCGTCCTAGCCCGGTAGAGGACGCGTTTTTACTCGGGAGTTTTGAATCGCGCGATAGTGAGGTCCAAGAGGTTCATACATTTTGTCCACATGCAGTCGCGCGTTTCTAAGAATCTCAATGGCGCGGTTCAAAACGCAAGAATTAAACCGCGTCATCTGTGTGCTTAGTGCGAGTTTGCATTGAACGTCGTCGCTAGCGAGTGCGTCAAAAAGTCTATGAAGATTTTAGTTCTCGGACATACATTAAATGTATTTTTTTACGCAGTCGCTAGCTAGATGTAAACTCGCATTAAGCTCCCTGGACACATGCTAAATTAAGTGTTGACACAGGGCCGGCCGACAGCGGGCGGCGGCGGCGCGGGCTCGTCGTGGGTGCAGTGCACGCACGTGTGTGAGGGCCACGCGGGCGCGGCGCTGGCGCTGGCCGCCACCACGCATTTGCTCTACAGCGGCGGAGTCGGTCAGTTGATAAGGCAGGGTACTCACCTGCCATGTAGCACGTAACGTAGCATGTAACGTAACCAACCTTCAAGTGAGTACGGCTCGTCCACGGTCACCGCGTATCTGGCTGCGAGCTCCTGGATCCTACTGCGAGCCGCCTTTGTGCTCGCAGTGATACCGCCACTCGGCGAGGCGCTACGATCTCCCTGCGAACCACGTGCCTATGTACTCACTTGATACAGTATCTGATACATTACATGCTACACGGCTAGATGAGTACCCTGCTTAAGGAAACGGATTCTTTCTATACCTTGCTTTTAAGACGAACAAATAACTTATTAATGATTGAAGTCAATGGTGAATTTATGGAAATCTTTAAATGCAGTTCTCTTTCTTTTCAAAAAGACCACTACCACGCATCTGCTCCGCTGCGGCGGAGTCGGTCAGTTGATAAGGAGACGTGTTCTTTCTATACCTTGCTTTTAAGGCTTCTTATACTTTATACATGAGCGGCTAATATCCAACGGCAGCTGTCCCCACCTTTTGGCCGCAAGCTGTCGACTCGTCGACGGCAGCCATTGCCACATCGACGACTGCCGCCAAAAGGCTAAAAACTGCCGTTACCACTGTAGTCGGCTATGAGCCGCTCGTGTATAAGAAGCCTAAGTCGAACAAATAACTTTTTAATTAATTGAATTAATGGTGAATTTTTGGAAATCATTGAATGCAGTTTTTCTTTCTCTTTCTTTTCAAAAATAAAGGATTGTTTTCTTTGAGTAACATTTTCTATCTATAGTATTAAAAGTATTTTCCCTTCAGGTGGCATTACAAAATTATATTACAAATACACCCTGTGGGTATATGCAGAGAACTGTGTTTCACAAAAGCCCCAGTGTAACGTTATTCGCACACTATTATTAAATATATGTATATTTTATGCAATATAGGTTAGTGTCTGTCACTCCCACTCGGCATAGGGCACGCCGAAAACCAGCGTCGTGACCTTCCTCATTGCACCGTGGCCCACGGCATATGCCGAGCGGGCATCGCTGTTGTGACAGGATGGCACTGCTCAGGGGGCGTAGTTTGAATTTACTTCAAACGCAATCGATGTCGACTGCGTAAAAAAATGACATTAAATGTATGACGGATTACACAGTGCCCCTAGCGGAAACTTTCCAGAACTAAAATGTTCATATATGTAATTTTTAAACGTGCCCGCTAGTGAAGACGTTTGCGTGAACTCACACTAAGCCCCCAGTTCACTTTGGCCCAGAACAGACGGTGAAACGAAACTGCAACTGCTAGTTACTTTTGAGTTGCATCTAAGTTTCTGCCATAGCGTCCGCGTGACGCGACCAGTTTGAAACTTTCAGTTTCATTCATAAGAATCATCAGAAAGTTGCAGTTTCGTTGCAGTTGCGTTTCACCGTCCTTACTTTTCTATTGTTATGTTTTATGTGTTACCTCTGTCTTTTTATATCTTTTTTTTCTTTGTGCATGAAATGTTTCTTCCTAACACGGTTTGCAGACCGCTCGGTCCGCGGCTGGGACCTATCCGCCGGTACCGAGGCGTGGCGCGGCTGGTGCGGCGGCGCCGTGAGCGCGCTGGCGGCCGGCGAAGGCGGCGACGCGCGCCTCGTGCTGGCCGCCGCCGGCGCCGCCGTGCGACTGTATGACACGCGCAGCCGCACGCCTGTCTCTACCTTGTGGTCAGTCGCATAACTAAAGCCTGGTCCGTGAGCACGTAGAATTTTGTCCAATGACCCCAGGCTACCCATCCTTATCGCTCGCGCGTAATTATATTGCTGTCGCGACTGTGCGACGCGCGCCCGCAGTGAGTGTGCGAGCGCGACATGCATGTGCGCGCACGCACACACTGACAAACTTCGGGGCAACTCACCGCTAATCCACGCTAAATTTTGTCAGTGCGTGCGTGCGCGCCGCATACGTATTGGCGCGCTCACATACAAACCGCGCTCGGTGCGTTTCTATGAAGATGACCTACTCATTTGTATTTACTCTGTAACTACTAGTCCGGTCGCCGAGCACATAGAATTTCGTTCAATGACCCCAAGCTACCTATCCTTATCGCTCGCGCGTAATTATGTTGCTGTCGCGCTCGCACATTTACTGTCCCGTCACACAGTCGCGACAGCCATTCAATTATGCGCGAGCGATAAGGATGGGTAGGATTGGACGAAATTCTATCTGCTCGGCGACCGGACTTTAGTAATACATGAATTGACAATAATTAAATTTATTTACATATTTATAGAAACCAACAGAGATACATAGAAAATATTAGTTGTAAGATTAATAATAATTAAAAGATTAATTGAATGTGCGAATTTTCATGAATGCTAAAATGTATAGTTAGCGAATTTCACAAATCATTCACTGTTTCATTTGTCTTGGGTGTCACGAACTATTTGATGCTAACTGTATAGTCGACGGCACATAACTATGATTTTTTACAAATGGCACCAACACCACAATTTGTGACGTAGTAGTAAGACAATATAAAGCAATGTATGTAATATTTGAGAGTTCAGTAATAAATCATATTCAATACGAGTAACATCTTTAATTAGCCTCGTCCCGTCCCTTACAAATTACTTAATACTGGTGTCTGACGGGCCTCAGGTCGAGCGGCGTGAGCGGCGCGTGCCCGTCGAACCGCGGCGTGGGCGAGGTAGCGGTGACGGCGCTGGCGCTGGCGCACGCGCACCGCCTCTACACCGCCGCCGCCGACAAGCTGCGCCTGTGGGACCTGCGCATGTGAGTGCCTCCAACACAGATATGGATTAGAGTAGATACAGCAAGTTGCTAGTCAAAGCGTGCCATTCCGATATGTCCAAATGGACATACATGGTCGAGTGATGTTCATGTAATCCGATTACAACAATCGGATACGATGATTTTACGAGGACAGTAGTACGAACACGGTAGAGAGAAGAAATTATTTACGGATTGAGAATTGTAATTAACAGCAACGAGTAACAAATATGTAATTAATTAGAATAAAGTAGCAGTAGAAGAATTATAAAACAAGTTAGATCAGTGATCGCGGAAGACAGAGTGCACTGTATAACGTCGAAATATACAAATCAAGAAGTTAGGTCAGTGATCGCAGTATACACTATTACTAGTCTATGTATACGACGCCCGAGATTTTGTCGTTTAGAAATNGGATATTTAAAAGTATGGAATTAAGTATGAATTACTAGTAGTATTAATTAACATAATGGAATAACGATCATTACTTTCATAAACATTAGGCACAACAAAAACATTATTTGCAAATTAATTATGTAGAATTGTAGAATAACGTCTACCGCTACAAAATTATTTTAATCCACAGTCAGACTAGCTATAAATTTAACAAAATATCAGTTTTATCGGAATTAATTAATTTTTGAATCGAGTCACACGATATCATTCGATGACTTTGCGAATGCAGTACGATGATACGATTACTTTTACGTTGCGGCAATCACTAAAATTTGCTAAAATGACACTAATGACGTTTAAAAAGTGGCACGCTCGGCTTCATACAATTTTTGACACATGCTGCATCTATCCATATCTGTGGCCTCCAAGCTCTAGCGACGTCACACTCGTGGCCTGATGGGCCTCAGGTTGAGCAGCGTGGTGGACGGCGCTGGCCTTAAAGTCTTTGTATAAAAATAACAGTCGTAAATTATCGATTTTCGTGATGTCTTCAATTGCATTTGACTTGCAAAGTATCTATGGACTGTGTTAAATTACGCATACCATCTCTGACTAAAGCGAAGTGTGCTTTTGATGAGTTGTCAAATACGCTACTATGTAATGAATAAGTATGAAGTCATCATCATTTCAGCCAAAGGACGTCCACTGAACCTCCTTATTAGGCGTATTGGCCTCCCCCAATGATTTTCACATCGCCCGACTACGGCCTGTGCAATCCTGCATTAAGCGCCATCCTGTTTTTTACGAATGACGTCACTATTTTTTTTATTTTCTTAGGCGAAGTCTGCACTGACCGCGATGGTTTAGCCGTAGTGCAGACTTCGCAGTTTTCTTAACCGTGTGATTTTATAACCAAATAAAACTAATGCTAGCGGCCGCACTGCGGTTTTTCCCGCAACTGAAAACTTTGGCCATATTCGCAGTTTTTAATCGCAGCTTGTACGGGCGGTTTTGCGGTTTACCGGTTTACCGCTTGCGGGAAAACGTAGTGCTGATTCAGCCTTAACTCTCAAATGCGTATTGTCGCAGAATTGCTACACTCCGATCTTATGACATTTTAGGTTTTTTAAAATTGATTTCTGAATGTATTAGCACGATCGTACATCCTGCTGCACCGTCAGCATCGACCGCCGTTCGACCCATGAACCCACAGCGTGCACCGTCGGCACTCTACACCGACGGCACACTAGCAAATACGTTTCATTGTGTACAGTAAATAACTTATGTATAAATAGCAATACGT